CAGCTAGCTCAGGTGCCCTGGGGGTGGGGTGTTAGAGGCAACTGCACACCTGCCCAGAGCCCTCTCTTGGCTTTCTCTGGCTGGATCCAGCTTCTGTGCAGAGCACAGCTGTGAAGGAGCTGCCAGCTTTTCCTGGCGTCAAGGGTCTCCAAGTCACCAAGCAGGACCCAGGAACTGCAGAGCAGCACGAGGCAAGTGAGGAAACAAGCAGGCGGGACTCAAGGTAGACTTCAGAGTGAACTTCCAGGCAAGTGGTGAGTTCTTGGGGCATGCAGACAAGGGGGCTCTAATCACACCTTAGCTTGAGGCTGATTAAGAAAAGGAGTGTGAGACTGGGCTGATGGGGCTCAGGGTGTGGAGTGAGAAGGGGAGGGCAGAGGGATAAAATGGAGCCTGGGCAACGGTGTCAGAGAAGAGAGATTTTTGGAACTGAGGGTGGTGGGATCAGAACGATAAGCATTGTTTATCAAGCCATGCACTACTATGTTTCGAGCGCTTGACTTGTATTACCTCATTTAATCCTCACATCAGCCCTATGAGATGGGGCCTGTTATTTATCCCCATTTGACAGATAAGGAAAGTGAGGCATAGAAGACTGGATTTTCCATAGTCACATAGCTAGCAAGTGGTTGAGTGGGGTTTGAGATGCAGGCTCCAGTGTCCATAAGCTTAACTGTGAAATTATAGAGCTTCTTATAGGAAGGAATGGACGCTTAGGTGGAGCAGGGCCCAGGTCCTTTGACTTTCCCTTTCCCCATTCCTTCTCCTTTCCCTCCCCACCTCTCCAGTCACATTCCATGTCTTTGGCAGGCAGGCCTGGGCCAGGTGGAAGAAACAAAAAAGCAATAACAAATGACTAGAGAGTGGCTCAGTTATAGCATTCATCCAGGGCAGGTAAGGTATTAGGGGTGGTCCCTCAGTTCCTCCCTCCCTCGCAGTTCCTGGAACCAGAGTCTGAGATGTGGGATATTGGCGGCAGAATTTGGAGAGACCACCCCCCCTTCCTGTCTCTTTTCAGCTGCTCTCAGGCAAGTGGCTCCCATGGGGCCTCAGAGATCAACAAGTCCCCCAGGCAGGGCTCTGCAGGAGGGGCTCAGGAGACCCCTCTCCCCAGCCCTGGCTCTGAGCCAGCTACAGAGGGGTTTTCCAGCCCCCATCCCCTGTGTGGGAGAAAAGGGGATGAAAACTAGAATCAGGACCCTACTGGGCTGTCTTGTTTGCTGCTTGTTTGCTCAGTACCTGGCTCAGGGTAAACACTCAGTTAGTTAGTGGACACACCTCTTCTCACTAAAGCTGGGGGCTCCTGGCCTGGTTTATGGGATGGGAGATGGCAACATCAGCCCCTAAGCCAACTCTGGGATGTCTTGACTCCATCTCTCAACCCGAGTTCTCTCATCTGGGGGCTCCGCATATCCTCAGCATGTGGGATGGAGTGGGGATGAGGAGGAAGACCTGGCAGCTGGGGTGCAGAGCTTCCCCCCACCCTGCCAGGTATCCTGCACAGCATGATCACAGAAGGCAGTGGTCCCCAAGCTGGTCTTTCAAGGCTGCCAAATCAAATCAAAAAGCCTAAGCCAACCAAATCAGGTTTTTGAGGGTGTGACCCATGTATTAGTATTTTTGAAACTCCTCAGCTGATCCCAATGTGCAGACATGCTTGGGAACGGCTGGTTGGGGCTTTATACCTTCTCAAAGCCCTTGCATATTCATTTTCCTACTTAAACTTCAAATTAAAACTTGCTCATTTCATAGGCAGAGCAAAGTTTTGTTTAATATATATATAATATTTATCAGATTCAATTTGTATTCCCTGCAGAAATTTTACAAATACAGAAATTCAAAGGAAGAAAATGAAAACTACCTGAATCTCATCCTTTAGTGACAGTTACTGTTGACACCTGTTTTATTTCCTTTATTTCCTCACTTCCATACAGTTGAGGAAGCTGAGGTAGGGAGACACGAGGAAACCTTCCCAAGGTCATGGGGCTTCCAGGAGCAGAGTTGAGAGTTGAACTCAGGGCACTGACAGAGCCTGTCCCATCAGGTTGCTGTGAGGTCTAAAGGGGCTGGTGCACGCCAAGGGCACCCACTGTGCACAGGGGTCAGTAAAAGGATGGGGCTCAACAGGGAAAGAGGGAGGTGGCCCTCAGGTTGGTTTTTATGCTGACCTTGTGTGTCCAGAGCAGAAGAATGGAGGCCAATGCCACGTCCACCGCCGGGCTCACAGCCATACCCGAGGGACTGCTCCGACTAGTCTTTGCTGGGGTCTGCGGCCTCATCCTGCTCGTGGGGCTGCTGGCCAATGGACTGATGCTGCTGGTGGTGGGTCGGGGCCCGTGCGCCCCCCGCCCACTCCTCGCCCTGACCAACAGCCTCATGGTGAACATCACACTGTCTGACTTGCTCTTCCTGGCCTGCGTGGTGCCCGTGCTCCTGCTGAGCTTCTTGCGGCGTGACTGGTGGCTGGGTCCCACCGTCTGCACCACCAGCCAGGCTGCCAACAACGCCACCATGTTCTGTACCTTCTACAGCATGGTAGCCACAGCTCTTCTGCGCCATGTGGCAGTGGCCCGGCCTGACGTGGCCCTTCCATCCAGCCCAGGCACCCGCCTGCTGCTCTGTGGGACCATGTGGGTCTTGGGCCTCACTGCGTCGCTGCCCAACTGGTTGTTCCAGCAAGTGGTAGTGGAGGAGGAGGGCCAGGCCTGCCTCTTGCTCCTGAACCCTGCTCAGACCTCCTGCTACTTCACCCTACTGGGAGCCCTGGCCTTCCTGCCTTGTGTGCTGGGGCTGGGCTGCTCTTTCAGCCACGTGGGCTGGCTCCTGTGGACACAGCCCCGTGGCCCCATGGGAGAGAGCATCCGGGAGCACCAGGAAAACACAGGGCTCATCCTTGTAGTGTTGGTGGTCTTTGTGCTGATGTGGGGGCCCTGCTCAGTGCTGGGCTATGTGGCAGCTGTGGGTGACCTGCCTGCCACACCAATGGCTTTTGTGGCATCCAGCTTCTGCACCATCCTGGCCTACTCCAACTGTGCTGTCAGCCCCATCCTTTGCTTCTACCTCTCCCGCCCCTTCCGTGCAGGACTCAGGGACCTCTTCTGCAAGCAGGTGGCAGCCAGGCACCCCAGAGGTGTGGAAGGGGCTGGTATGGTGATGGAGAGTGTCCGGCCTGGACATGGCAGGGCCCAAGGAGGCCTATGGGATCTAGCAGGTGTCTGAAAGGATAGGCTGATAAGAGGGCTGAGATTCAAGAGAGAAAGGAAGATCCCTAATGATATTAGATCCCATCCCCTCCATTTCACCAGTGGGGAGACAGATCCAGAGAGCAGGTGGCTCAGCAAAAGTGATACAGCAACTAAACGGCAACTAAGTCGATGGGATTCAGATAGGTATTTATAGGCTCCACTACTTCCTAGCTGTATAACTTGAACAAGTCCCTTAACTTTTCTATACCTCAGTTTTCTCATCTGGAAAATAGGACCATGATAGTACCTTCTTCACAGGGTTGTTATGAAGATAAACCTTCTCAACACATATAAAGTGCTTAGAAGAATGTCTGGTGCTTGTAAGTGCATGTGAGTATTGGTCATTATTATTACTATTATTATCTTATTTTTATTAATTCAGGGGTGCTTGAAGTGAGTGGACAAGAGGGTGGTCAAGGGACTTCCAAAGGCAGAGAGTAGTAGAGGAATGATCTGGGGGCCTGCCAGCCTGGGGTCCCTAATCCTGAAAGCTTGGCAACTGAATTGGGGGGAGGGGAAGAACCAGCTACAGCCTGGGGAGGGGAGGCTCATAGCCCCGGAGGGCATTTCAGTCACCTTTCCCTTCTCTGCCTGCCCTCCCCCAGCTCTGTCACACACAACTGTCAGTCCAATAAAGGAACACCATGAACTAAAGTCATGGAGCCGTGAGTCTGGGTCTATGTATTTCTCAACGGCCTCCTTTCTCCCCTGTGGTTTCTCTTCCTGATGTATCTGGGGCAGAGTCCCCTTTTGAGGCCCTTTCCTTCTCTCCAGAGCCAACTGGAGGTCTTCACCTCTCCTACCCCATCCCTTCTGACAAGCTCCCAAACTCCATGCCCTCCTTCTGGCCTCCTGGGAACAGACTTCAGGTTTCTGTGTTGGCTTGGGAACCAGGGAGATTGTCTTAATTGAAATTCCCAAGATCATACATTCTGCTTGGTAATGGTATTACAGTTAAACACACACTGACCCTATGGTTAAAAAGCTTAGGAAACACTGGGTTGAACCAAGTCAAACTAATCTCTTTGCTATAGGACTAATCAGAGCCTCAAACATCCTGAAGGCTATTGGAACTCTCTGAGAGGGTCTCAGAGCAGGCAGTTCCCAAAACCCATGCCAGCGTCCCATGGAACACACCTTGGGAAAGAACCCAGGAGAGAAGCTACAGTGCTGAGCACAGTAAAGATGCTCTTGGTACCCTGGGGCAGTGGCTCTGAGCCTCAGTTCCCCTGCCAGGCACGCATCTCCTCCCAACACTTTCCCATTGGCACCCAACGTGAGGTAAAAATGGGCTGCTGGTTATGGGAACTTCCCCCTTCTCAAGCTGTGACCCCACCCGGTTCGCACTCAGAGAGGATCAGAATGCAAGGCAGAGGGGCATCTAATTAAAAGGACAGCAGTGAATCAGTTCTAATTTACTATAAAATCACAAGAAGTAAGCAAGTCCCAAACTTTAGTATAATTAGTACCAACTTCTTGTGATGTGCAGGTTGGGAATGGCTGCCTAGAGGGCTAATCTGAGAGTGAACTTGCCCAGAGAATGGAGAAGTCCCCTTTCCCTGTGTTCCTGGTCCCTGATGGCCACAGGGATGTATATGTAAAGAGAGACAAGGAGGAAAGTGGTGTTTATTGTGCACTTAGTGCAGCAGGTCCTGTGTATGTCACACACTTCCTGCATACATACCTACATGTCACTCTGGCCACACAACAATCCTGCAAGGGAGGACTGACAGTCCCATTGCACAGTAACTCATCCTGGACACATGTCCTGTGAGTCCAGCAGGCTGCCTCAGGAGCCCCCCTTTGGTGCCCACAGACCCTGGCCCCTCCCCTACTTAATGCAGCTGCAACCATACTAGCCTCCATGCTATCCTTCAAACACACCTCAGGGCCTTTGCACTTGCTGTTCCCTCTCCTTGGAGCCCTCATGCCTCAGGTTTCAGCATGTCTCCCTCTCTCATCTCAACCATCATCTCCTCAAAGAGGTCCTTCCTGACCACCTCATCTAAAATATCACCCTGTCACTCTCTATCCTCTTATTCTCTTATTTTTCTTCATGACTCTTATCATCACCTGAAATTATGTTATTTACCTATTTGTTTATGTGCTTATTGTGTTTCCCCTGTCCCATTTATGTCTCTACTGTAGCTCTATGTAGAGACAGGGCCTGTATTTTGTTCACTGCTGCATCCCCAGTGCCTAGCACAGGTCCGGCACATACTGGTTGCTCAGTAACTCCTTGTTGAACAAAAGAATGGAAGAAAAAGAGAGAGGAGAACCTGGACTCTGTCATGAAACAACATCTGCTATTTTTCACAGGAGAAAGGAAAACAACTTTAGTAAAAGAACCAAATTTACTTCAGTTTAAGGCAAATGCCACACAGAGACTGTCTCAGAGACGGGCACAGGACCAGACAGTGTAGAAACACCACCATCATGCATGACGGGAAGGGAAGCAGTGTCTGGCAGCAGACAGGGTGGGGCCTGGTCTCCACCCAGGCACGGGAGGTTCAGTGGGCTGAGGAGCCCCATGCGGCAGGAGAGACTGGCATGCATGACCTGCTCCGCATGTGGGAAAAGGCCGGGCAGCTGGGTGGACCCAGGGGTGAGATCATCTTTCTTGCCTTTCCCACAGCAGAGGCAGGGGCTTGGGTGCAGACGCCAGAGCCCAAGGCTGAAGGACCAGGGTGGGTTTATGTGATGTGATGGAACAGTGTGACCCTAGAGCCAAGACGGCCTTAAGGGGTTGCACTGGCAAGGAGGGGGATGGGGCAAGCCGGGTGTGGGAAAATGGACTCTCAGGGCGTCAGAGTTGAAGATTAACCCAGGCTTGTCTGATCAATCCTCTTGCCTTACAGATGTGGAAACTGAGACCGTAAAGGTAGACGGGCCTCGCTTGGGTTCCCACAGCAGGCAGGGGCTAGAGGCAGGACTCGCATCCTCTGTCCCCATGGGGTAGACAGGCAGTGTGGGAGTGCTGGGGCTGGGCTGCTTTTTGCCCAGGCCTCTAGGTGGGCAGCAGAGGAGTGGGCACCAGGGACCCTGGGATGCCTCTGGGAGAAAAGGGGACGTCTGAAGTCAGGAGCCGACTGCCTGTGAGCCCAGATCAGGGAGAGGCCTGCGGATCTTTGTGTCTAGAACCAGCGTCATACCGGGCTTGAGAGGTACCTGAAAGAACCCCGTGCCTGAAAAACCTCCATCCCTTGTCCACTGTGTGACCTACATCCACCATCACAGCCTCCCCTTCATGGGTCTGCAGGACTCCCACTGCATGCAAGGGTTCCAGTGAGGGTTCACATGTTCGGGTACCTGTAAACTCAGCAGCCTCATGGGGTTCATTGGAAATAGGAACAGGAGAGATACTGGGGTGGGGGTCAGGGGCCAGGTGTAGGAGTAGACACCACAGGAGGAAGGCAGAGAGAAGAGGCCTGGAGGTGGGAGGCCCAGCCCAGGCTTCTGGGTGATATACCAGATGGGATTACCCAGGTGGGCTGAGGGGGACCCCCATCGTCCTGATTAACATCTTCCTGGCTGGTCCAGAACCAGATGTCAGGGAAAGAAGAGACGAGAAGGGGCCCAGATCCCCACCTCTACCACCTGTACCCCCAAACTGGGTGTTTGGGCCATATAGGGAGAAGTCTTCAGAAGCCCTGCCCCTGGCCAGCTTCCCAGGCACAGGTGTTCCAAAGGCTGGGCTGGGTGGACTGTAGGGGGTCTGGGCACCCTGCCTTCCTTTCTACTGGACTAAACCCCAGCCATCTGAGCAGACCAGGCTTCAGATGTGCGTGTGCAGAGGGGAAGCAGGGGGCGTGCGGGCCGGGGACTCGGGGGCCGAGTGCGCTGGGGCCATGGGTGGGGAGCGAGGGCGGATGCCCTGCGCCTTCATGTAAGACACCAGCTGGTCCGGGATCTCGGCCAGCACGTCCCGGGCCAGGCGCGCCATGCTCAGCACGTGGTTGCCTGTGCGGTCCACGTAGTCCCTGAAGGGCACGAACTGTCCAGCGGAGAAGGTAGGGTCAGGTGAGGTCTCCCTCTGGACACCAGCCCCCCAAATCTCCAGGCCTGGGATCCTGTCCCACTCCTCCCCAGCCTCTGCTCACTTCACTCAAGCCCTCCCCCTCATGATGAATTCCCTGAGGGGCTACTGTATCATAGTCACTGTTCTTTCATTCATTCAACAAGTAACTTATTGAACACCTAGTCCACGCCAGGATACACCATTGAACAAGATTCCTTAATCTCTGAAATCCTGGCACCAACCACATGCACTTAGCAGGCACTGAGGAAAAACTGAATGAATCCCATGGCTCCTGGAAAATGGGCCCTCCAGGTCTCCTCTGACCTCTCCAGCAGAGCCCTCTCTCTGGCTCTTTGGCCCTGCTTCTCTTTCCTCTCTGGGCCAACTCCTACAGTCAGGCCCCTCTGGCATCCTCCCAGGGGTGGTCCTTTCAGGGGCGGTGAGGGGTCCACTTCTCCCAGCCCCCTGTGCCTCAGGCTCACTCCTGCTTCCAGGTCTTTGCATACACAGGTCTCACTTCCCAGGTGGTCCTTGCTCTGGTTTCTAGCCCCCTATCTTTAGTCTCTGCACCTGGAATGACCCTCCCTTCCCTAATTTTTTTTAATCCAGGGGGTATGGGGAATGTCAGTTCTTTTTTAATCTGAATCTCCTAAGCACTAGGAACTCAGTCTGCAAGAGATTCACAGAGGGGTGTGCTTACTGAAGTGCGTTCTGGGGCTTGATTGGACAGGGATTCCCAGAGGACAAAGACCTGTCTGCTCCTTACATTCGCCATCCAACATGGAGATGCTAAGACACTGATTCAATCAACTGAGCAACGCCCATTCTTGGAAGGGGCTGCAGCAACAATAAAGACACTTCCTCCACCTTCACGGGGTTGGCCATCTCACTTAGGAAGGCAGCCCGGCAGAAAACAACAGTAGGTGCGAGTAATTAGGTGTCTGTGTTCTGCAGGAGACCCTGGAGGCCTGAGGGCTCAGGGAGGGCTTGCAGAGCATTCCTGTCAGGGCAGCACAATGCTAAGGGTGAGTCTCAGACATGGTAGAGAGGGGTCCAGCCCGAGGACTGACTCCTGTTTCCTTCTAGGCCAGTACCTAGTGCCTCCCTCCAGGGCCCCTTTCCAGGGAGGTCAGCTCTGGCATTTTCTGTGGGGCAGGCAGGGTCTGGGCTTCACCTGGACAATGTCCCGTTCGGCCAGCTTTCCTCGGGAGGAGATCCGCACGTCATCACCATCCAGCTCCACCATGGCTGTGAGGGGAGGGAGGTAGAGGCACAGGGGTGGGTGAACTAATGGTGGGCACCTGGGCCTGACAGGACAGAGACTGTCGGCCCAGAAGCCCACGTCAGAGATGAAAAAACTGAGGCCAGGAGACGGGAAGAACCCAACCAAGCAAGTCTCTGACTTCCAGCCCAGTGCTCCAGCTCCCCTACACTCTGCAGGCTCCCAGGTTGGAGAAGGGAAGAGGAAGGCGTGACTCGGGGCCTCCTCCCCACAGCCTTAGGGTGTGGGCATGGGGTGCACACCCTGACACACCCCTCTCTGTGCAAACAAACGCACCCTCAACCCTGCCTGCTCACCCAGACAGTCGCACACACCTGGGCGTGAGCTCTCACTCTTTGGGAGGGATCGTTTTCAAGGGCCTGAAGCCTCTGGGGAAACACGTAGGGGGATGGGGACTCACCGTCGAACTCCGCCTGGCCCACGCCGATGATGATGATGGACATGGGGAGTTTGGCAGCCTGGGAGACAGCATGAACGGTGTGGGGTGGACCCAGCCAAGAAGGAGGTTATGGGACAGGAAGAGGTGGGTCAAAAGAAGAAAGGCAGGAGGACAGGGAAGAAATGGAGGAGAAAAGGATAGAGACACACAGAAACACAGAAAAAGGAGGAAGAGAGAAGGGGAGGAGAGAAGGAGCCAGGAATACAGACCAAAGGAAACGGAGGTGGGGGCACCAGAGAGGAAGAGGGAATCGAGAGGGAGGGAGGCAGAGGGGGAAACGGGTCACAGGTCTGCTTCTTCAAAACACTCCCATTCCTTCTTCTGCCTCTGGGCCCCTATCATGTGGGACATCTTTTATGTGGGCCTGGAGGGAGGACCAGCTGTGGCTGGGGCCCCTGTACAGGGAGACCACCCAGTAAGGGGAGCCATGTTCCAGGCCTCCCCCACTCTGGACTTTCTCTACGAGGCCAAGCCGGGTTGGGTGGGATCTGGCTGGGGCAGCAGTCCTAGAGATGGTTAATGAGGGAGCGATGGGCGTCTGGAGGGAGTGGACCACCCAGTGTGATGAAGAGGTGGGTCCAGAGCTCACCAGCCAAATTCTTCATCAGCCGGCACCCCCTCCACATACCAAACCCTACTGCTGGCCCTCTAGACTCTACAGCAAGAAGCCAAGAGTGGTCCCAAAGAGGGCAGGGAGAACAGAAGCCATGCCCTAAAGGTTTCCCTAAAGGAAGGAGGGAAGCACACCTTTGGGCTCCCCATCTCTCCACCCCAACCCCTGCTCACGTTGACGATAGCCTCCTTGGTCTGCGCCATGTCCGAGATGACCCCATCCGTGATGATGAGCAGCACCGAGTACTGGGAGCCGTCCTGCACTGTGGCCGCGTTCCTGGGGCGGGGCGGGGGCAGAGATCTGTCTGGCAGGGCTGTGGGCATGTCATCCCCACCCCCAATACAAGGACCCTTAACACTTTGGTGGGGACAGCTCTTTGGCAGGAGGGGGTTTCTTTAGTGTCAGATCTCCCTGAAAAGTGGGGAAAGACGCTCCCTCCTGCCTTCCTGAGAGGACAGGGGTGGGAGGAAGCACCTTCTGAACTCTTGGGATGAGTGTCCAGTGACCTCCGCACTCACCTGGCCACATGGGTGACCACGGGGGCGAAGTTGGTGGGGCCGTAGAGCTGCACAGTGCGCAGGCTGTGGTGGTAGGCCTCCAGGATGCCATCGATGCCGCAGCACGAGGGGTTCTCCTGGTTGCCGTTCTGGGGGCACAGAGGGTGGGAGGCTAAGCCCAGGAAGGAAGGATTGCAGCTGGGTGGTCTGTGGGGGCAGAGTCAGGATGGGGGAGCCCAGCAGGCCTGGGGTCTCCTAGACTCTTCTCTGGTAGGGGCAGGGGGTGGGGGGTCAGGGAAGGGATCCTCCTGGGCCCATCCTGAAGGGCAGTGCATGCTCAGGGGAAGCAGAGTCCAGACCTGCTCCTTGCCCTACTCCCGGTCCCTGCTCAGACAGCTCCTTCCTCCCCCAACCCAGAGCCCTGATTGCTTCCCTTAGGGAACCTCTGGCAAACCCATCCCAAAATGACTGCATGGTCTGAGCTGCTCTGGAAGGGCCAGGGGCTGATCCATCCTCCTGTGTCCTGTGCCCAGCACAGTGGCTGGCACTCCACAGGCACTGAGGGATGCTGGCTATGAGTGATCCAGCAATGTACTCAATGTCCCCAGCTCATGGGAGGGAGGGAGAGGAGGTGGCCTTAGAAGCCATCTCCACAAAGCCCTCATCTCAGCACCAACTCAGGGACTTCCTGGAATCACCTGCTATTGTCCATACCCAACCCACACCCCCTTCTCCTCATTTCTGGGGCCTCGGGGAATAGTTCAGTCTCACCTCCACCCCACCTCCACCTGGCTCTTGTTAGGAAAAGGAAGCCAGAGCTCACTGTGGGTGACTTCAGACACGGAGGGGAAGTGCTTGTGACCAAGGTGGGGAGTAGGTTCCTGGAACCTCTGATACAAGCCCTCCTCCCCACAGCAGGCAGCCTACCCTTACAAAGGCTGCACCTTAAGTCCCCAGGCAGGGAGGATGGGGAACGTCCCCAACCCCAGGCTTGTCACCACACCCCAGCCTGGTCAGCCCTCAGCCCTCTCTCCAAGGACCTCTTACCAGCGGGAACTCGTGGGACACCCTGCCGTCAGGGGGCAGTTTGGCCCCAAAGCCGAGGGCAGGGAACATCTTGTCACTGTCATAGTGCTGGATGATCTCCCCGACGGCAGTCAGCGCCAGTGCATAGGCGTTCAGCTGGTAGGGGCTCATGTAGTGCAGGGACGTGGACTGCGAGGGGTTCCCTGTGACACAGGATGCGGGGACGGTGGCCAGCCTGGACACTCCAAGCCAAAGGGCTCAGAATATAGTTTCTTTATTTACCCTTGACTCCTTTCTTTCTCTCTTACTGCACATTCAATCCTTTAGCAAACTGTGCCTGCTAGATCTTCGAAATATATCCAGAATCCCACCTGCTTATCCCCTCCTTCAAGATACTGCCACCGTCTGGCCTGTAGGATTATAGCAACCTCCTAACTGATCTCCCTGCTTCCACCCTTGTGCCTGCTGTCCCTCCATACTCGGCACACTAGCCTCAGAGACCCTGCAAACCTCAGGCAGCGAATCACACCTCTTCTCTGCTCAAAATGCCCCAATGCTCCCATTGCACCCAGAACAAAATCCAAGGTCCTTATAAGGGCCCACAAGGGCCCACAAGGCCCCACCTGATCTGGCCTCCAGTTACCTTTCTCCTCATCTCCTACCATCCTCTCTGTCACTCACTCAGTCCCAGTCTCTTGTCACTCCCACCTCAGGGCGTTGGCAATAGCAATTCCCTCTGCTCTGGGATACTTTTCCACAGATGTGCACATGGCTTGCTCTCTCACCTCTTCAGGTCTGTACTCCAGGGTATCATTCTCAACATGGCCTTCCCTGAGCGGCCTATTGAAAGTTACAGCCTCCCCCGGTACTCCCTACCCCGCTTCCTGGCTTGATTTTTCACTACTATTGTCCATGTTTTAGTTACCTGTTTATTAATGAGAGGCAGTACAGCACAGACTGCCAACGTATTAATCCTCTCTTTACCTCCTCCTAGCTGTGTGATCTTGGATAGATGTTGGTTAAGAAACCACTCATCTGTTGAACTGGGGTAATAATAGTCCCTAACTCATAGGATTGTTGTGAGGATTAAACAGATGCTATTATCATAGCTCTCCTTATTGTTATCATTACTAAGGCCCCTCCCAGCTCTGACATCCCACCACTCTGTGACGGTAGGGCCTGCAGCCCTGAGAGGACACACCTGCAGAGGGTAAGACCTGGGCATTTTCTGACTGGCATAAAAATGAGCATTAAGCATGAATAACTAGGGTCCAGTACCCAAGGAAGGCTGTGATGTGTCCAATAGTGTAAAGTTTGGCATTGATTGCTCCTGGCCACTTGGTCACAGCCCGACACTGGAGAAGGTCAGAAGAGGGGAGGAAGTGGGGACAGCCTGAGCAAGGGGGATGACTGGAGCTGCTGAGCTGCATTCCTGCCCTCACTGAGGACCACAGAGCTCCGTCCTGACTCTGGTTCTCCCTTCCAGTCTGTGGGTTGGACTGCACAGGGGATGTGCAATTTGATACTGTGAGGAAACACCTCTACTCCAGGGCTCTCCATAGGGCCAGAACAGCTGTCCCATTCCCCCAGGGAGACTGGGTATCCTCAAGGACAAGGCTGGCTCAGGGTATATGGGCCCAGAGCCCAGATTTGTTAGTGACCATGATCCAATCTGGGGATACTTTCGCCACCTTGATTGTATCTTTGGTTCTCCAGGCTTAAGTTCCCTCTCTTCGGTGAGGATGAGTCCAGAGAGTATGGGAGACCTGCCTCCTAGCTAGAGCCAACCACCACAGCCCTGAAAAACCCTCCCCTTTCCAGATCCCCGGCCCTCATTCAGCTCCTCTGCCCATCCCCTCACTCACCATTGGAGGCCGTGAAATCAATGGCCACTGTGAAGTTGATCTGGGTCCTAGAAGAGGGAGAACAGCAGGTGAGTTACCTGGACAGAGGGAGGGCTGTGGGGAGGGTGAATCACACTGGACAGGGAGTGAGAAACCTGGCTCCCACCCCAGCCCCACTGCTTGCCAGGTGTGTAGCCTTGGTGAAGTTACTCATCTCCTTCTAGTTCTGGAAAACTGGAGTAGTAACACCAGCCACACCCTCCCCCAAAGGAGTGCTGTTAGCATCGAAAGAGTTAGGCAGTGTGAAAGCCCTTTGAAGATGATTATTTCTGTTGGGCACATGGCTGTGGCTACTTTTTCCCTTTCCAAACCCTGCCCTTTGGCCCACCTGAGGCCAGGGAAGTAGGGTCTCACCGTACTCCTGGCTCAAATTTGGAGTCAGATTCAGCGTTAAATCTTATTTGGCAAAAAAAGAAAGACAGATAGGCATTGTGCATCTCCTGAGGGAAGAACAAAACACCACCCATTTAGTTGTCTTGCCAAAAAAATTGAACCTGAATCCAACGGAGCTTCCAGAACTATCTACCAGTTTACAGGCAACACAGAGGACAGAGGAATATGTTAAATGACACCATAGAGGATGCAGCCAGTAGAAGCCAGTCTGGGGGAAATTCTGTAGGGGCGCCCGTGGATCAGCACCATCAGGATCACTTGGGGGTTTGTGAGGAGTCTCAGGCCCCCTGGAGACCTACTGCATCAGAATACCTTGGTGGGGTGCAGGAATCTTAGCAAAACTTTCAGGTGCTCGGGGAAACCACTAGATGACAAGATAATTATGAGACAAATCAATCAATTGCAATATATGGGTCTTGCCTTGATTTCTGATTCAAATAAGCCAGTTAAAAAACATTTTAAGACAATGGGGGAAATTTGAACTGATTATAGTTGGTATTAAGGAACTACTCAATTTTTAGGTGTGATTATCATACTTTGGTTATATTTTACAAAGAGAAAGTCCTTATATTTTAGAGATATATCCTGAAGTAATTGAGGGGTGAGATATGATATCTGGGATTTGCCTCAAAATAATCAGAGGAAAGGGAGAGTGCGTGGAACAAGATCAGCCATGAGTTGGTATTTGTTGAATCTGACTGGAGGGTACTTGGGGACTCATTATATTTTCTCTTCACTTACGCGTGCATTTGGAATTTTTCCACAATAAAAAGTTAGGCTTTGAAGGTTCAGATTCAGGGTTAAAACTTTCTGAGGGTTTGGTTGTTCTAGATTCTGTGCCAGATGCTGATAGAACAAAGCTGACAAGACACGAACCCCTGATAAAGTCTAGCTGTGATTCTCACATGCAGTGAGAGTCAACAGGGGAGCTTGTTTAAAAAGATCCCAGGGCCCCACTCCTGGGGATGCCAATTTAGTCAGTCTGTGATGGGGCCCCAGAATCTGCTTCTTCAATAAACATTCCTTGCCCTCATGCAGGGGTTCTAAGGAGGGGTTCTGGGATCACACTTGGGGAAACTGTTCTGGTGGCTCTGAGTTTTGGCTAGGGATGATGTAAGATGAGGCAGGGCTCACCTGACCTGCATTTAGCAGATGGTCCCTCTCAGAAACCACAGCCCTCTCTCCACTTGATCACAGCTGAGCTGCTGCTCATGGACCCTTCAATCCCCAGGAAGAGTGAGGGACATGGTTAGCAGGAGACCTAAGCCAGCATCGGCTGGCCAGATAGTCCTCCCCACACTCTTTCCCCCTCACCTGCTGCCTGTGGGCAGAGCATCCAGTAGACTGAAAGCTCTGAGGGAGGAACCATAGGATGGCAAGAGCCTGGGTCCTTGAATAACTGTGTGGAGGACCTCCCCATCCATGCCTGCCACCCCACAAATGAAAAATAAGACTTTATTTGTATGAAGTCTTGAGGTCGGAGGAATTATTTGTTACAGCAGTTGACCTATCCTATTCATCTGCTGTTGTCAACTCTATGTGCAGAGTACAGAGACTGTGTCTTTGTTAGAGGAAGGGAGACATCTGGAGGGTAAGAGCCCTGCTCCTGGGGCCACCCTTGGGAGGGCGGTTCTGGCTGGCAGGACTACAGCTGAGGGACATCACTGGCCTGGCTCTTCCAAATAAAGGGTGAGGAGGGAGGCAGGCTTGACTCCTTAAGTACTCTTCCCCTGCTCTGGGATCTGAAATGGCTCAGGGAAGGAAGGGGCTGGAAAACAGGTATTTTTGTGGGAAAGTTACTCCCTTCAGGCTTGCCTTTCCTGCCTAAGGGCCAAACGCAGGCTGCTGAGCAACCAGCTTCATCTCTGATTCTGATGTGGGAGCAGAGGTGCCCATACCCTTCCTCCTGGGCCAGGTGGGCGAGGAAGGGAGGCCAGGGAGGAGAAGATCTCTAGATATATGCCTGCCTGGACATGCACACTGGCCTCTCACTCCCTGAAGCCAGCTTTCTCACTCAGGTTCTCCAGAGTGTGAGGAGAGGGGCGGGGCAGGGCCAGGGCTTGCAGCAGCCTGGCCTCCATGAGCTCCTTCTGGATGAGACGATGAGACAATGAGATGTCACAGCACCCAGCCCTTCAACTCCTTAGTCTCCATCACACCCCACCTAGTAGCTTCAAGGTGGGCAGGCCAGGATTATTCATCACTATGGAAAAAATACAGCATTTGGTGACAGAAGAAACCCTGCCACTGGTTAGGCGTGCGGCCTCGGGCATGTTATGCAAAATAGACATAAACATCTCTACACAGCCTGCTGGGTTCTTAAACTGGGGGCACTATGCAAATGAGAAGGATAAACAGGATGAAGATTGTTTGAAAATTATCATTGCTGAATAGGATAGGCAATGGAGCAGTTTTGATGGGGGAAGGGAGCAAGGGCAGAGACTGGATAGGCTGGGAGGAAGCGCAGGGAGGCCCCTGCATGACTGCAGGAAGGGTATGAGATTGGCGGGTAGAAAGAGAGCTTGAAACCTGGAAACTGTAGGCTCAAGGCAGCAGGGAGCATGTCATGGGAGAGTGAGTGTGGCTTCCCAGGGCCTCACTTTTCCCTCTGCCCTGGAGAACCAGGCAGCCAAGTGCCCGCTTGGCTGGGATGATCCTTTGGCAGCTGCCCTGCCTGTCTCCTTCCCAGACAGGTGTAATCACTCACCTGCCTGCACCTGTGAGTTCTCGGCTACCCACACCCTGCCCTGGCATCTGTCCTGGCAGGGAGCATGCTGGGCAGGACCTCACCTCAAAATCAGGCTCCTTTTTTTTGAGCTACTGGCTGGAGCCACCAGGCTGCTCTGCCCACCTCGTCCTGGATGTTGACCCTTCTGGGTCTTCCTGCTCCTTAAACTTGTGTTTGACCATCCCCTGGCTCATCCTCCAAATCCTCCTGCCCCTTGTATAAGTCTCTGATGATACTGGGCAGGCTAATTACTGACTCCACAGGTGTCAGAAGCTCAGAGCAGGAAGGAGCCTTAGAACTCACTATTTCCAACCACTTTGTGTGCCGGGGAGGAGAAACTGATGTCCAGGGAGGGAAAGTGACTTGTCCAAAGTAATCCAGCAAATTCACAGCAAAGAGAGGCCTAGAGCCTGGGCCCCATGACTCTTAGTCCACGGCTCTTTCCGTCTCCCTAAGTCCTTGGGAGCTCTCTCTGTCACGGAGTCCCTACCACCTGAAGTCCCATCTGCACAGGAGCCTCACATGAACCAGGCTGGCCTCTGTAGCTCAGGAGTGCCCTCTGCAGCCCTTCAGATTCCAGGAAAATGCAGGGCTCTGGGCAAGTTTGAGCCCAGACATGGGGGTCTGCTCAGAGCCCACGATCACAGGCTTCCGCCAGGGCCTCAAAAAGGCCAGGTGGGACCAGAGCTGCTCATGTCAATGTGTGGGGCCCCTTCCCTCTCCCCGAGGACAAAGAAACCAGGCAGTATCTCTTCTCACCCTCCTTTGATATAGTCAAGAAATGTGCACTCTGACTCCACAGCAAAGGAAAGCAGCGTGACCTTGAAAACAAAAAAGAGCTTGATTAGTAGAAGAGCTTTGCTGACAGTTACAGGGCACTCAGCATGTGCCAGGTTTGCATACATCATTGCAAACAGTGAAAACAACAATTCTATGAGGTACTAATATTATCCCCATTTTACAGCCAAGGGAACTGAAGCTCAAAGAAGTGATGCACTGTGTCCAAGGATACAGCCAAGACATGGCCAGCTGAGATAGGAACCCAGAGCCTGCACTCTTGACTTTGATGCCAAACTGCATCCTAGAAGAGCCCTGTCTCTGTCACTGGAGTACGGGCGCTCAAGCCAAGGAACTGAGTTTCTCCTAAGTGGACACCAGTGTGGAGTGGCGGGGGGCGGGGGATGCCTTCCTGACAAGGCCTAAGATCTGCCGATGCTGACAAGCTCCATGCTTCCATGTTCTGCTATTAATCCTGAAACGTGCCTCTTTGGTCTGCACTTGTTCCACGTCATCCCTCTAGAATCTCTTGATCTCTATCCTCTAAGGCGCAAGACTATCATAAGCAGCCTGTCCTCTCCCTGGAGGTAACTGAGTACCTGGGGCCTCCTCTCTCAAGCAGAGGCCTCTTGACCTATGCCCCTGGCAGTTCTGGCATCAGCTTTGCCCAGACAGGCAGCTACCTGGCAGCTCATTACGATAACGGTTTAGTATTGTGGAAACAAGTGAAAGCCTGGCAGCTGAAATCAATTGAATGAGGCAGGATTGGGGCAGGGGGAGTTTTACCTATGTCAGGGAACTCCACTCTAGGATTTGGGGCACCCCCACAATTGGTGTAGATTCAGTCATCTTTATCAGCTCACTGGGTAGGCCAGGCAGGGCTTCTGCTTGACAAAACAGATAAGCCACTAGCCTGAATGATGGGAGGGTCTGTGAGTACTGAGCTGGGCCTTGGAGATCCCTACCCACTGTGGTTATGGTGTTAGGCACCTGGATGGACTATGGCAGTGGCCTCTACACTGACTGATGATCATTAGACTTCCTGGGGAGTTTTTAAAACATCTTACAGCCAGAGTGAGGACCCCAAACCAATTACTTCACTGGGGGAGGGCTCTGGCCCTGGATCTTTTTTTTTTAGCATGAGTCTAACCTGCAGCCAGGGTTAAATCACACCCTCCAGGCCCTGGGATGAAGCAATTGCCTAACTTGCCTGGCCATATGGATTTACCCAGAGACTTGCTACTCAAAGTGTAATCCTCGGACCAGCAGCATCAAAATCACCTTGATGCTGGGTAGAAATGTAGATTCTTGGCATTTTAACAAGATCCCCAGGAGATGCTGGACATCTCCAGTAAGATATGAGAAGCACTAAATACAGGTTCCTGGGCCCCAGCCTGGGTTTCCTAAAAGAGAACCCCAGGGAACTAGCCTAAGCACCTGCATTTCAGTAAGCCCTGGATCCTGAGTGATTTTTTACGGTAAAAATAGGGAAATGCCGGAGAAAGGGGAAAGTCGGGAGACCTTGGCTGGGTCCTGCTCTGTCCCTAACATACTATGTTCACCTGAGACAAATCACATTCTTCTCTGGGCCTCAGTTTCTTTATCTCTAAAGAAAGCTGGATGAGAGCAGTGGTTTTCAAACTTTTTTTTTTAGATTGTACATCTAGTATTTCTCAGCTGGGGAAGGTGCTGCCTCCCATAGGGGCATTTAGGAATGTGTGGGAGAGCTTTGGGAGGGTCTCATGATGACTGGGGCTCTACTGCTAGCTATGGGCTGAGGCCAGGGGTGCTAAGCATCCCACCAGGTATGGGGAAGTCCTGTGAGAATTATTCTGCCCCAAATGCTGACAGCATCCTCACTGAAAAACACTGCAGCTCTGGACAAAGGAAACACTACTCGAGCCTGTGTGTGAAACAGTTACAATCAGAGAAGTGGTGGTCAGCCCGCTGTGAATAAGCAGAGTACTTTACAGTATACAATCATATCTTCCATATGTCTTTCACAGCTACCCTGTGCATTTAGCAGGGTAGGGATGATGTATTAGCCCCATTTTACCGATGGAGAAAATAAGGTTCCTCGCAGGAACCCCAGAGCTCCCTGACTGTGGCCTCTTCTAGTCTGAAGTTGCAGTGGGCCTGACTCAAATGACTACATTTGGCTGATGGGGCCGTGGTCTTCTAGAGTGGAAGGGACATGAAGGGTACAGACTCAGGTATGTTTGCACTGCAAAGACATAGGCTTGTTCTGTAAATGCACTGGTGGGCTCCACCTCAGGGCCTTTGATATTTAGGATTTTCCTCAATATCCTCAATACTTGCTTCCTCACCTTTAAATCTCTGCTCAAATGTCACCTCAGTGAAGCTTTCCTTGACTACTTTATATAAAATAATAGTTTTGTCTCTGGCATTCCCTGTTCATTTGCCGTATTATACTTTTTCCCCAAAGTACTCACAATCGTCTGACACACATAGGTATATGTGTGCATATATTTTTGTTTTTTTCTTCCCCAGGAGGGAGGAGAAACAGGAGGGCATGGATTTGGGTCTGTCTTGTTTCCAGCTGTATCCATTGTGCTTTGAACAGTGCCTGGCACATGGTAGTACTCATTTGTTGAAGAAATGCATGAATGTCCTGAAAATCAGCCCCAGAAGCCACTGGGCCAGTGTGATCCCAGGGTGGTCATGGTTAAGCACAGGCAGTGCCCACGGCAGCTGCCCGCTCTGAACTTAACCATTGTGCTCCCTGCCGTCTCCACCACGTTCTAGCTCTGTGACCTTGGTTGAGTCACTTCCCTATCTGTGGCCTTGGTTTCCTCTTGCACAACAAGGGGATGATAGTGTCTGCCTCTTAAGGAAACAACCTGTGAAAAGCACCTAAATGGGGAATTTCCCAGAGTAAGAGCCCAATAAATGCGACTTTTTTCCCTCTTCCTGCAGGAAGTCCCAGTGGGAGTTTCTCTCTGGGTTTTCTCATTCTGTCTCACAGAGCCTGTTGTGTCTCCTGCACCATCTACCCCCTGGGCTGTTGCTCCATCGGCCCCACCCCTCCCCACCCCCCACCCTCCAGGCCTGGTTCCCACACTCTGCAGGAGCACACACAGAGACATGCATGACTCCTGCCACCAGACCTAGCTCAGAGCTCAGGATGTCTACACCCGCTGCAGAGAGGGTGTGGATACTCACCGTGCCAGAATTCACGTATTTCTTTTTCTTCATTTTCTTTTTTGGGTTTACTACCTGCAGAAAAAAACAGTTGCCAGGTAAGAAGGAGCGTTTCTAAGCAGTCAGGACTGACCCTTGGGTGTGGCCCCAGCCCCAGCAAGCAGAGTGTGAGAGGTGAAAACCAGGGGTCTGGCGGAGGGGTGTTCAGGGAAGTTTTGTGAGACACTGGTACATAGATTTATGCAACTGAGCTCACGATTAGACGGTTAGATGGATATCCCACGACCAAACACACCAGGAATAATATTTACTTAGCTTTCTCTCCCACTGCTCCCCTAAGCACACCCTCCACCCTATGCAGCCAAAGGAGGCTCGATATTGTAAAGGGGACCCCGTCCGTGCCTGCCTCCGAGTGTTGGCTCAGACTGCTCTGAAATGCCCTCCCTTCCTTCCTCCACCAAATCCAATCCTCCCTACTTCTCCTTTGAGATCCAGCCCTAGGGCTGCCCTGGGGCCTTTAAGGCTGCCCCCCTCCACCACTACCACCACAACCGCCCTTAAACTGCAGTTAGAACCACCTTAACTGTTCTTCATGTACAAGCTTTAATTCCACATCTATCATCAGAGAATACATCACAGGGCTAGGCAGAGAGTAAGTGCTTAAAAAACGCTTCTTGGTGGGCTACTCACTGGTCTCAACTGGGGGTGATTTTTGCCTCCCAGGGGACATTTGGCAATGTCTGAATATATTTTTGGTTGTCACAACTGGGGGAATAGGCAGAGGCAAGGGCTGTTACTAAAAATCCTACAACACACAGGACAGTCCCCCACAACAAAGAATCCTCCAGTCCAAAATGTCAGGAGGGCCGAGGCTGAGAACCCCTGGGCTGCACCGGGAGGAACACCTTCCCCTCTGAGTCCTCCATGGGTCTTCGCACGTACTGCATTTGTTCTCTAATTTGATCCTCACCAGCTGTTTTGTTCTTTATGTGGGACAGCCAACCTTTTCCTAATCTCCACTCAAAGTAAGGTGGTTTTCATACCTGCTCTGTCATCTGTAGGTTTCTGGTGAACTCACTTTCCCTCTCCCTCATCTCCTGTTTTTGCTGCAGGGGCAGCCATCTTAAGATCCACTTCTGGAGATAAGGAAACTAAGGCACAGAGACACCACCTAAGTGGTGGTGTTTGCCTAAGGTCACACAGCTAGCCTGGGTAGGGACAGAATTAGAAACCAAGTTTCTGCCCTCAGGCCAGTACTGCCACTTTGATAACAAATACAACCACATTCCTTCACAAATATCTATGGGGTGGGGTACCAGTTCTTCTCCCACTCCAGTGGAAAAAGAAGATATGTCCTTGGGTGATAGGTGACAAGGGCCACCAAAAAGGGGGTGTCAGAAATGTGAAGGGAGTTGGAGGAAGGACAGAGCATTCCAGGTGGGAGCATCACTGAAGGCTCCATGGAACAGGCGATATTGAAGGCAGATGTTGAGGGACAGGAAGGATTTGGACATGAAGAGATGGAGGGAAGGCATTCCAATCAGAGGAGATGGGGGGCTGTCAGGGAGCACAGAACTGGGGTCCAGTTTGATTGCAGAACCTCAGGGGTGGAATAGTAATTGGACTGGCCTTTAAGATAGCCTAGAATGCCAAGTTAAATGTCTGAACATTACCCAGCAGCCAGCAGGGAACTCTCATAACCTGTAAGCTATTAGGGAACATGATCACAGAAGGCTCTAGGATGTTGGGACCTGATGGAGTTGAGTACAAGGGGAGAGGAAGGAGGGACATCCAGGGCTTCTGCCTGGTTCTGCTACCTAGTAATTGCGTGACCTTCCCCTGTGCTTCAGTTTCCTTATCTGTAAAATGGAGGGGGAAAGTATCTACTTCATAGAAAGGTATGAGGATCAATACAAGTAAAGTGCTTTGAACAGGGTCTGGAATGCAGTAAATACTATGTAAGTGTTAGCTGCTATTATTTTTTATTGCTACTACTACTATTACCACCACCACCAGTCCAGGTGAGAGGTAGAGGGTCTAGAGGGTGTTGGAACAGGTCCTGAGCTATGGCAAAACAGCACCGTCATGAAGTGACCACAGATCTGGGGCTCTAGGTGTGGCCCTGGAGGCAGGAAAGAGGAAGGGGTCAGGGGTTACCAGGCAGACACAGAGGAAGGAAGAGCTGGATTTCAGGTACAGGAGGGAAGTTCAGGTGGTAGGGCTGGCAAGCTGTACAGGTGGAAATTAAGGGCCAGGGGAGAGAAGCCCAGAACAACCTCAGAGCCTCCACGGGCATGAAGCCACCCAGATGACGCAGTGCTAACTGACACATTCATGGGATAACAGCTCCCTAGCAGGCTGTTGAGATGAGAGCACATTGCAGCCCCAATGCCACACTGTGCCTCCATTTCCCAATCTGTCCTATGAGGGTGTTGAACTATGAGAATTGACTGCATCTCAAACTCCAAAGTAGCCCTCCCAGCTGAGGATAATGAACATGGACTCTTGGTGGGGGTCTAGGCGTCGCCCAAAGACCTGGCCACAAGCACATTTCTTTGAAGTCTTCTCTGTTATCTTTAAATTAGCCTGTACTCCACATTTCCACTCTCTAATTATAACTGTTTTAATATTAAAGCAATGATTTGTTCTCAGATCTTCATGTGAAGTGGGCACTGAGAAAGCACCCTGTTTGTTCTGGGGTTTCATGCACCACCCAGCACACCCCCTCCCCCATGTACCAGCCTCTCCAGTCCTAAGCGGCTGCACCTGAAGCTCCATGCAGGGGACCAGCGCACCCTAGAGGCCAGCCTTGCAACATCCCAACTCCTGGGCTGGAGTTCTAAGCCTTCTCTTTTCCCTCTCCTCACCAACCCAGGGTCTCCAGGGCCTGCAGGGCAGGTCTGAAGTCTGCCCTCCTGTGCAAATGGCCACTGAGTGGCTCCCAGGCTCCAGGAGCTGTGCTGGCTCTGGACACAACGGTGAGGGAGACATCACCCCCATCCCTGAGGACATGATGGTCTTTGAGGAAGAGGGGGGTGAGGGGCACAGGAGCACCAAGGACAGGCATCTATTTCAGACTTTAGGGTGGAGTAGGCGTGCAGGTGGAGACTTCCTGGAGGAAGAACATCAAAGGGAGTCTCCAAGGTCGAGCAGGCCCAACCAGGTAAAGGAGAGCAAAGCCCCAGGGGAGGCGCCAGCATGAATGAACCGCAGAGACTAAGCCAGCATAGATCAGGCTTCACAGAGCCTCAGGTGGTGTTATGGGGCTGAAAGTAGGGGTGGGCAGAGGGAAGGGGACGAAGCTGGACTCTAGGGGCTCCTAGAGGTGTGACTTGTGCTGCTACTGATACACCACGCCCTGCCCAGGTTGCACCTAGACTGCAGTCACTGGTGTATGGCACACATGTGAAGGAGCTTGAGGCCTATCTCATAGGTAATGGACCCCGTAGGACCTCAGCTAGGGTGGAGGCTGTGCAAACCAGGCCAAGGAGCTGGGTGGGATGTCCAGCTAGGTGTTAAGCAGGGCAGCAATGTGGTCAATTACCATGTCGGAGGAGTATTTGGGTTACCAAGTAGAGGATGGAAGGAGGCGGGAAGGCCATTAGGGGACTGTTGCAAAGCCCCCACACAGGGGAGATGGTGACAGTGGGGGTGGAAGGGAATGAAGAGGACAAATGTCAGAATATACAGGTGGTAGGAGGAGTGGGGTTCCATCGTGGACTGAGTGTGGGGCGAGGGGCAGGAGATGTCAAGGATGCCTCTTCAGATGCCATGGCCCCCGTGATGACAGTACAGAAGGAACTGGCTGGCCAGTGGGGAGAGGAGGGTTGTGGGGGACTTTAGCTAGTGAATTCACTTTGGGAAAGCTAAGTCTGAGGAGTGGCCAGCAGGCAGCTGGGCATACGGGTTGGATACCCAGGCTGATGCCAGGGCCTGAGATAAGGATGTGGCAGAACACTGTTCTCTCTTCAGGAAGTTCTGACTCTAGAAAGACCTTCCTGAGTCCAAACTGGCCTCCCAGTGTTGCCCTCCAAGGTGCAAGGCCTGCCTCGGGGCTGCCAGAGTTTAATTCCTTTTCCACCTGATGGCGTTTCCAATGTGTGAAGACAGCACTTCTGCTTACCAGCACTGTAGTTTCTCTTGTTGATTGCAAGGGAGCAGGGATCAACCACTGAGAAATGAGTAATCTGACCTCCTTTGCTTTAAGCCTGAGAGATCATGGCCTCATCTGAGCCTGTCAAGAATCCTTAGAAGTCAAGCTCCAAGAGATTTGACCCCTTCCCTTCACTTCCCTAAAAATCTCCTTAAAAGAGTCCAGGGAAAGATGGAGCCTGCTTCTCTCTGCCTGGGTAGGGGACAGGGACAGCTCTGTCTTTTATCCTTGCAGAAAACAAAGCAATTATCTGTGAGGATCAGAGCTCTTTCAAAGAAATTCATCCACGGTCCATCCTCACAAATAGCCTTGTTCAACTGAATTCAGTGTGGATGTATAATAAGCACCCACTGTGTGCCCAACAGGATGCAGGCCAATGTGAATAGAGCAACAGAAAGGGCTACCACTTTGTCTGCCCTTGGGGAGCTTCAGTCCAGCTGGAACACAAGACCATCCCACTCAGAACAGATACAGGCTGAGGGAGTGGACATATGGAGGGATTTGGACTCAGTGATGGGAGTCAAAGCCAGCTCTGCAGCCTCACTAGCTGAGTGGCTACTGATGTGAGGATAGAGCCAGTTTGTCAGATGGTTGTGAAATGTAAATCTCCTGGCACCCAGGCACTCAACAGACGATACTGGGAGACAGCACTGACATAATGCTCGGTGGGGGCTAGGCATTGTTTTAGCAACTTACTTAATTCTCAGTGTGCATGGCATAGAGGGGGGCAGGAACTCAGCCAGGGGCACGTGGCTAGTACGTGGTAGTCAGATATGAAACCCAGGCCATAAGTTAGGGTTATAAGTTTCTGCAGTTTCGTGGGTCTGGCGTGAACTGTGCTGTCCATGAAGTTCAGAAGGAGAGAGCACAGAAGGCTGGCCCAGCTGGGAAGGCCCCAGAGGAGTAGGGCCTGAGCTAGCTTTGGAAGGTGGGATGGTCTCCTGGGAGGGAGAACACACAAAGACAAAGGCTCAGCCATAGAAACTGTTCTTTGAGGGCAAACACTATTATCTCCAGAGAGACTGGGTGCCTTGTCCAAGGTTCTCCAGGACTAGACGGAGGTATCCTGACTCCTATTCCTGTCTTTCCTTCCAGAAGAGATAAGATAATTCTGCAGGTCCTGAAACTGTTCTGATTGAACGCAGAAGCTATTCTGAATTCAGGATCTCAAGTTTCAGGCTCAGAAGCTTCTGATACTGTCTCTCACCTTCTGCCCCACCCACAGTTCTATCCCCCAACCTTGTTGGAAGAGCTCTCTTAAGGGGGCCCTATAACACAGTTATCTGGAGTCAAACAAGCTTAGGTTGTCTGCCTCTTGATTCTGCCAGTTACTGGACCACATGTCTTCAGTCAACTCCCCTAATTTCTCTGAGATTCAGTCTCTTTGACAGTAGAATGGAACAATAACACCCACCTCACAAGAGAACATGCAAAAACCCCACCTCAGTGTGTGGAGAAAAGGGAACGCTCCTACACTGTTGGTGAGAATGTAATCTGGTGCAGCCACTATGGAAAACAGTATGGCGATTCCTTAAAAAACTAAAAATAGAGTTACCATATGATCCAGCAATCCCATTCCTGGGCATATCTCTGGAGAAAACTCTAATTTGAAAAGATACATGCACTCCAATGTTCATAGCAGCACTATTTACAACAGCCAAGACACGGCAGCAACCTAAATGTCCATAGACAGATGATTGGATAAAGAAGTTGTGGTGTGATCTATATATAGATAAACACACACACACACATACACACACACACACACACACGATGGAATACTACTCAGCCATAAAAAGAATGAAATAATGCCATTTGCAGCAACATGGATGGACCTGAAGATTGTTATACTAAGTGAAGTAAGTCAGACAGAGAAAGACAAATATCATATGATATCACTTATATGTGGAATCTAAAAAATGATACAACTGAATTTATACAAAACAGAAACAGACTTACAGACATAGAAAACAAATTTTTGGTTACCAAAGAGGAAAGGAGGGGAGGGATAAATTAGGAGTTTGGGATTAGCAGATACAAACTACTATATATCAAATAGATAAACAATAAGGTCCCAATGTATAGCACAGGGAACAATATTCAATATCTTGTAATAACCTATAATTAAAAAAGAATATGAGGGGGAGGGTATAGCTCAGTGGTAGCGCTCATGCTTAGCATGCACAAGGGCCTGGATTCAATCCCCAGTGCCTCCAATTTAAAAAAGTTAATGGAAAAAAAAAGAATATGAAAAATAATATATATATGTGTATATCTGAATTGCTATGCTGCACATCAGAAACTAACACAACATTGTAAATCAACTACACTTCAATAAAAAACAAACAGACAAAAAACCCCAGCCCAGCACATGGCTCACTGTAGTCCTTAGTGACTGGAAGGTATGTATTATAACAGCAAACCCCAGCCTTCAGGCATCTGCCTCACCTCATAGATGTTGAATTGGCTCTGCCCGCGGGCCAGCTCCCGGTAGCTGGTGGTAAACTCCCCAATGAAGTCATGGCTGCAAGGGAAGGCTGCTGCTGAGACCACAAGGCCCAGACTCTGCTCTGCCCATCCCTCCACCTTTCACATCCCTTCCCCTGGCTCCCAATTCTGCCCAGGGCCTCTGCTCCAGGGGTCCACACCAGCAGAGAGGCTGGGTCCCTGGGAAGAGTCCAGTGTCACCCGTCACCCATGGAACAAGAAACCTAACAGTCACCCAGCAAAGAGCAGGGTCCTGGAGAATGGGACCCACTTCTACTTATTTGAACAAACTAGCAATAGAAGCTATTTTGGGGACAACTGGGGAGATCTGAATATGAAATGAATATTAGACAGTATTCAAGAATTATTGTTCAATGTGTCAGGTGTGATAATGATATTTGTACTTATGTAGGAAAATACCCTTGTTTTTTAGGCATTCTCAATGAGATACATAGAGGTAAAAATGCCACGATGACTGTAACTTAAACTACATCAGCAAAGCACAGATAAAGCAACTATGGCAACATGTACCACTTGTTAGATTCAGGTGATAGGCTTAAAGTGTTCATTCAACTCTTCTCTCTACTTTTCTGTGTGCATGACATTTTTTCAAGAACATTTTTTGAAAAGACAATTAGTGCTATGTCTAGGCAGCTTGAGGTGTTTTCTGCAGTGTTTACACCTTCTGGATCTCTGCCCCACAAGCGTGTGTTGAGGTTAAGTACAGCCAAACCTTGTACAAAGCAGAACTCCCATCTTCCCTGTGACTGGCTGCCTTTCACCATCACTGCGCCTGGTAGAGGGTAGCGGTTAATAGCCTGGCCTGGAGCTGCTGATAGAGAGTGATGCCAAGGAGGTGTCCCTGGGGCCTTGTCACACCTTGAGCCCACACTGCATTTTGTCTACATATTTACAGCTCTCAGCATTCAGACTGTGAGCTCCTTGATAGTGGGACCCAAGGGCATCTGTTGGCTGGCCCCAGCTTTCCCGGTAAAGGAGAAGTAGGGGGAACTCCAGGGTGAGATGACGAGGTGAATCATGGGTGGAAACCTGAGGCTGACTTGCCTGTGATGTGGTTAAAGCAGAGAGGAGGGGACAGAGTGAGTTGGCACCAGAGTTTCTCTGCAGGAAGGTCTCGGGAAGGTGAGCTCTTTGGAAGGGGCTTGAGCCTAATTTAGACCTGGGCTTGCACAGCCCTTTCCAGCATCCCTGTCCACGTCACAGCCTTGAGAGGCACCAGTGGAGATTACAGGGCTTAAAGCCCTTCCATGACACTCCCTACTGCAGAATGGAGGGCTCATAAGTCAAGATAACATACTTGGATTTGGCTCAACAGACAAGCAGGAGCCAGCGAGGGTTCTACTAAAACTGTGAGAGGCCTGTTCTTGTCCTTGTTTATGAATTCTCAGTGACACTGGCTCCTTCGGGGCACTTAGACCCACAGAAGGGGAAGGCACTGGCTTCCCCAAGGCCAGGCTCAGCCCTACTCAGGCTTTGCCTCACAGCTCCTGGGTCCATTCGTCTGCATTAGAGCTTACCCTTCCCATATTCCACTCCCTCAGGCCCTGATCCCTGCAAACAGCTCCTCTGATGAGCTGAGGGCCTACCCGCTAGATTTCAGTGAGTCTCTGAGAGCTGAGCTGCATCTTCTTCACCCCATAATGCTTAGCCTGACACAGAGAACATGGCCATGAATGCTCAGGTCACCAATATTTGTCTACACCTCAGAACATACACATTTCAGAAAACTCTAGGGGGATGAGTATAGCTCAGTGGTAGCACGTATGCTTGCATGCATGAGGTCCTGGGTTCAATCCCCAGTACCTCCATTTAAAAAGTATAGGAAAAAATCAGCGAAAGATGTATCTTAAAAATTATTAAAAAAAAAAAGACAATTCTAAATTCTCCCAAAATGTGGGGAGATTTTAGGCACCGGCTGGCTGCTAGGCAACTACTTGAGGAAAAGAGGCTTCTAATGCCCCTCACACCATATCCTGCAGGACACAGGTCCTCTGATGCCTCAGTGGAGCTGGGCAGGGATGAGCCAAGGGGGCAGTGGATCCTCCCCAGGAGAACCCAGGCCCCCTTACCCTCAGAGCTACCATGGGTGGGGGCCTGGGCACAGCTCTCCCCATGAAAGGGCCCTTCCCCCGAGTTGCTGACCCCATCCCTGCTCACCTTCTGTCCTTCTGCCAGCTTACCTGCCGTCTCGATCCCAGTCGTATACCTCCACCTTGATGGTCCTGTAAGGCAAAGGACCCGTGGTGGGATGGACTAGATCCAGCACCTCAATGGCCTGAGGATGGGGCCCTTCTTATGCTCCAGGACCAAAAGGGGGTGCAGGAACACCTACCAGGCTCCCAGGGCCCTCAGTGGAGAGGCAGCAGCCCAAGAGACAAAGGAACTATCTTGAGACCTTTAAAGGTTTTAGAGATGGGGCAGTCTCAGAGCTATGTAGGGACTTCCCTGAATTTCAGGGAAGATGTGGAAAAGCAGCCTCAGATTTCAGTTCACCCCACCTTCTGCTTGGCCACTGCAGACGGGGCACAGGTCCCAGCAAGAAGCCATACTGTCAGTTTATCAGGGGTGGGGCTGTTGCAGTGGGAGTGTGCTGCTCCCCGGCTGTCACTTCTAAGCAGGGAGGGCTCTCCTGGGGAGGAGTGACAAGACTATGTGGTGGGACCCCAGGGTCCAAGAGGTCTGAGTGTTGGGCAGCCAGCCCTGCATGTCAGGGCTGGGCCCAAGGGCCCTGACTTGGGGATGGCCTGTTGAGCTTTTCCACGCCAGACTGGCTCCTGAGTGAGGGTGTAATTATCTTCACATTTTAGCCTGGCTGCTTTAATTAGTTTGTTTTGACTCCTGAGCATGGGGCTGGGCTTCAGGAGCCCATTTTATTTTTAGCCTGTTTCCATGGCAACAGGCTAGCAGACCAGAAGCGGAGGAGGGAGGTGGAGGGTTGTGGGTTAACCCTTGGTGCCAGCCGTCCTCCAGGGATGCCCAGGGACAGGGTAGCTGCCAGGGTCTCACTGCAGGGTCAGGGTCTGTGCGGGTGGGAGAGGCGTGGGGGAGCTGGGGTCTCCAGCCTTCAGGTCTAAATGGGGCTCACAGAGGTGGCTGCCTGGGCTTGTGTTCTATGAACATATCATCTCGCCCATGGTCACAGCCCATCTCCTCAGGTCTGTGGGAAGTCAGCCTTGGGGTTCCGGAACCCCCAGAAGGAGGCGCTGTTTCCCTTCAGATGAGCCTCCGTGGGGCATGGGGTGGGGTGCGGCTTCTGCAGCAGTGCAGGAACTGTTTTGGAAATGAAGGGATGCCCCGTAGGTTGTGCAACAACTGGATTTTTGTTACCAAAATGTAAAATGGGGCAGGCATAAAAGCCTACCATGTAAAGAAATCCTTTAAATTCTTGTGAAAAACAAAAAACAATGTCTCTCTGAGGTGAATTATTGTGGAAAGAAAAAAAAATCAAAAAATTTAGACCCCTGAAGATGGACTGATTGATGATCTGGAAAGAGTAGAAAGTGGGTGGGTATGGATTTGGATGCTGGGCCCTTAGCAGTGGGATCTGGGGATGTCACTTGACCACTCTGAGCCACAAACCATCATTTTAAAGTAGAGAAAATAACGGCACTGCAGAATAGCTGGGAAGATAAGCTGGTCAAACTACCTGGCATGTAGTGGATCTCTATAAAATTGCCTCCTTCTCTCCACTTTAGCATTCAGGCCACATTTGGGATAGTTTTTCACATGCAATTTACTTAAATCATTTGAGCCTGGGTACCTGGGCTCTGCAACTTCTGATTCCTAGAATGACAAGGCTGGAAGTGACCTTGGTGGTATCCTAGCCTGGCCACCTGGCAGACTGCTAGGGAGCTTTTGAGACACACAGACCTCCAGGCCCTGTTCCTGGCAGCTCTGGGCAGGGCCCAGGAATCTAGTTCAAAGATTTCTAAAGTGGTTCTGCTGTACATGTTCTGGAGGGATAACCTCCAGCCCTTCATTTTCAGGTGGGGAAACTGAACCCTAAGGGTACCCAGTGACTTGCCCAAGGTCACACAGCTGGTGAGGGTCTGAGCCAAGACACTGCCCCACAATGCTGAAGTCTCCCAGTCCTTCCCCAGAGCACCCCTAGCTCTGCGGGGGTCCTTCAGGGACTCCAGCAAGGAGTACCTCTCCTAGGACCACCAACACCAGTCCTCAGGTGACTAAATCAGTGACAACCACATGCTCAGAGACTGTAGGAGGACCCCAGTCATAGCCACAGCCCTGGATACCCAAAAAATCACTGGGAGATTCTTTTTAAATCCCATGGCCAGAGGGCCTGATTAAGTTGATCTGGATAGAATTTAGGCACAAAAAGTTTTTAAAAGTCCCCTGGCTGATTCTAATGTGATGCCAGAGCCTCTGACCTCTCCAGATGAGATTACTGGTTTTTAAGCTTGGTTACACATTGGATCCCCTGGGGAGCTTTAGCAAGCCTGATGCTGATGCCTCACCCCAGAGATACAGAATCAATTGGTCTGGGGTGTAGCCTGCGCATGGGAATTGTTAAAATCTCCTCAGGGGATTTGAACTTGCTGCTGAAGTTGAGATCACTGAATGTGAGATTCCTGTGCAAACTCGGCCTAGCAGCAATCACAGTCAAGGCTCCAGGAATGGCTGGCAGCCTAGAGGTCAGATTAGCTTGAAAGCTACAACCTCCAGCCTTGGGGAAGAAGGTGAGAGAAACGGTGCCCAGAGACAGGGAGGGGCAGTGGCAGAAGCCAGGCACAGCTTTGATTACTTGGTGACATTTCTGTCACTATCCAGCCCTGACCTAGCAGCCCCAGGTCACCACACATGCCACTGTGGGCTGCAGGCCTTGGCTCCCAACCCCTTAGCACAGGACCAGCAAAGGCTCATGTCAGACCAACTGTGACTTCTGGGGACAGCAACCAAGAGAAGGGGCTCCTGGGTGTGTGACAATGAACTGGGCCTCACAAAATGAACATCTTGTTTGACATAGAAAGACAGAACAGAGCCCCTAATCTGGGAGGCAGGGAGGTGGACAGGGAGGACTGCAGGCTCTGGGGCAGGTGGCCTTGGATGACAATCCCAGCTCTTCCAGGTACTAGCTGTGTGGCCCTCTGCAACTGGCTTAGCCCCTGAAGACCGTTTACTCCTCTGTAAAATGGGGTAATCAGACCTATTTTGGAGTTGCTGTGAGAAGGCAACTACGTCATTCACACGGTCAGCATTGTTAAGCCTGAAATACTCAAGCCTTTTTTCCAAGCTCCTGTCTCCCAAATAATTTCCATTTACCACAAAAATGTCAGCTCCACAAGGCCAGGGATCTTTGTTTGTTTTGTTCATTGTTGTATCTTCAGCTTCTAGAACAGTGCCTAACATATACTAGGTAATATAAATATTATTATTAAATATCTGTTGGCTAAGATCTCTTAAAACTTCATGAAGTGGGCCACATGGTAAAAATACTCTCCTTCCACAAAATCTCAAAGGGAGGCCCAGAGTGTATGGCTTTCCCCAAGTCACACAGCTGGTCAGTGGCAATGCCAGGCCTTGGGGCCAGGAGCTAGTGTTCTGTGGGTCTCTGAATGTGCGGGGCAGGAGTGAGAGCCAGGTGTGTGTGAGCCTCAGGAGGCCAGCAAGGATGGAGGATACTGGCAGAGTCGCCAGGCTTCGCCCTCGGCACGCCAAGCATCTCTCTCTCTAGTCTCCTCTGAGCCAAGCTGCAGGTCGGCTCCTAATGAGCCTCTCCTCTCCCAGGCAGAAGGTACATATCCCTGATGCTTACAAGTCCCGAGGGCTGACAGGCCTTCAAGGGTTTGCCCTGAACTAACTGAGTCAGCCCATTACTCTGAGAGGCTTCGGGGAGGAAGAGATGTACGGGGCCTCACTAGGCCAGACAGCCAGCCTGGATGGTGGGGGCACTAGGCAACCCTGGCTATACCACAGTGACTTCGCTTCCTCTGTCCGAGTTCAGCTTCTGCATATGCGAACCAGGGATAAGATGAGCCTAACTGAGGCCATAGTGCTGGCCTGGCCGCCCCACCCCTGCCACTGTGCTCAGCGTGTGGCGGGCTTCAAAAGAGAAGCAACTGGTTCACCCAGGGGGCCGAAGTTTCAGCGATGTGTGAGACCCCAACTCCCGGGAATCCTCTCCCCTCTCAGGTGAGGACCCAGCACACTCAGTACCCATTCACCATGAAGGTGTGAGTGAGTGATAGCAGTCCAACTCAGAGGAATCTGGTTTAACAGGGACAGATCCTCAAGTCACAGAATACTCAAAAACAGAGCAGGGGGACTTCAGGGAAGGTAGAAGGGCTTCTTATGATCACCCCACTTCAGCCTACTGGAGGCCTAGACTGGCTCTGACCTGCCCAAGCCCCTGAGCAAGGTTCTCCCATCCCACCCCACTCACTCTACATTTTGGCCATTATGTCAGCAGAACACCGGGGTTAAGAATACAGATTCTAGAGCCAACCCACCTCGGTCCAAATCCTGGTTCTACCACTGACTGGTAGTAAGAACCTGGGTGAGTTCCATAACCTCTCTGGGCCTCAGTTTCCTTACCTATAAGATGTGGATAGTATTTGTAGCTTTTCCAGAGGAGGTACTAATTGTTGGGAGGATTAAATTAGTTCACATATAAAAATTACCTCAGAAGTGCTACAGGAGCACTTCTCTCTGTCTCCCACCCTGGCCTGGGAGCAACCTCAGGAGGAGGCTTGGGTCTGATAGCTCAGTGTGTCCACAGCACCCAGCACAGTATCCTGGACCTGTCTGGCTTAGAAGACAGAGCTGCTAGATTAAATCCAGTGTGTTCTATGAGGCTTCAGGAGGTGCCTCAGATGGAGAGGAAAGTGGCCTTGTTTTCCTGCACAAGGTCCACCCTCTCCTGCCCTGAGGGGGCCTCCCAAACGCTTGTACCTCCCGAATGGTTGTTGGGTACATGAGTGACCCTAGGGCTCAGCGGAGGGTAGGCTCACTTGATTACCAGGCCAGTGTGACACACCTGACCCCTCCATTAAGACCTCTGTCAGTCATGTCACAGTCAATCTGTTCCTGGCTACAGAGGAGGGCCCAAGCTGCCCAGCCATCCTGGAGGGAAGCCAGTCTAGGGCTCAGCCTCAGAGGGGGAAAGGGGAGCCTGCCTGGGCTCTCCCCACGACCTGCACCTTCCCACTGCACCCTCACTGCCTCCCATGGCTGAACAGTGAGCCTAGGCCTCTGAACTGGGCTGCCCTCCTCACCATCCTGACAAAGCTGTATTCTGAGCCCCTGAGAGCCCCTCCTAGGTATTCAGGGTTGTAGGGGGCCAGTTGGACCCCTAAAACCTCTAGGCAGTGTGGTCAGAAATCCCAGTTCCTTCCATCCCCATGAGAATGAACTGCCATGCTCTTCATCCCCTAACCTTGAATTTCTGCCCCCAGCTCCTTCCTCTCTATTCCAACATTTTTTCCCACATCATTTGTCCCACTCACCAACCTTCCAGCCTCCCAGAGCCTACTTTAGACCCTGCTGTTCCAACCAGACTGTCCTCCCATTCCCCACCACTCCAGGACCTGGACAGATACGTAGCAGGGGTTCTTTTGGCTGGAATGCCTATTTTTGTCTCCAATCTCATTCTGCATAACTATTTAGCTATTTAACAAACATATGTGCACACCTGAGCTCCCTGTGGTCAGGTTATAAGCCTCCTGAAGATGGAAGTGTGGCTACATTCCTTTGAATGCCACACAGCTGGAGGCACAGTGCCAAGCACATAGTAGGTGCTCAATGACCATCTGCGGAACAGATTGTGGCTTTTCTGTCCCATCTAAGAGGCAGGAAATAAGCCATCTCAACTCCTGGATCAGCAGCCTAATAAAGAGGGAGACAGGGGTGCTTAAGGCTGTCCATCCACTCATTCCTTTCCCCCATCCCACTGCACACACCCTGTCAAGTAGCCACTGTGAACAGAGTCCCAGGGTGCCCGTGCCAATGCCACCAGCCAGGATACCCTGAGGTGTCTGCTCTGACAACCCAGTGTTCCTGTCAGAGTGGCCAGCAGAGGCCCAGCTTCCTCAAGTCTGCCTGGGCAGATCTGCCTGAGAAGCCCCTGCCAGCTGGGCCACCAGCTATAGCAATCACCAGGAAACCAGGCTGGGTTCTTGTGACAATGTAGACCAATACCGTGTTGCAGCTCCCATCCTACGTGCCCCCTCTCCCCTGGCACTTACCACAATTTGTAATTATATGTTTCTCTGCCTGATTATTGGATTAATGTCTGCCTCCCCCACTAGCATGTAAACTGCAAGAGGCTGGGTGAAGGGTGGAGACTGTGCATTTTGTTCCCTGCTGACTTCCCAGTATCTAGCACAGTGCCTGTCACATGGTAGGGAGTCAATAAACATTTGTGGACAAAATGCTGAATGGTACTTTATGCATACCAGAGCCTTCTAGTGTAGGTTGTGTCATGTAAGCTTCAAAGAAGCCCTATAAGGTAGGTAGATGTTTAAATACCCATTTTACAGATAAGAAAACTGAGGCTCAGGCAGGTCAAAGTTTGCCCAGGTTGACAGTACTTTTCAGTCAGAGTCAGAATTAGAAATCAGGTATCTGTTATCTACACTCCACAATCTACACTCAAACAATGATGAGAGGTAGTATGAGTAGCATCAAAAAACTCCACGAGCTCTTTGCACTGCACTCCTCATCCCCATTAATGGCAATCTGGCTGGCAGAGCATATCCTGGGATCTTGACTTCCCAGAGTCCTTCAGCCAGGAGTTGGAGCTGGTGGGGACCAGGGCACCTCTGCCTGCATCCAGAGCCACCATCTGGCACACAGCTGCCCCTCCACTAGGAACAATGAAAAGACCAGCTGCTGAGATCCAGGCTAGGGAACCCCAACACTCACCAGGGCTTCCCTGGAATCCTGGGCACCTCCCATCCCCGCAACCTGGGGGGCTTCCACCATTGGGAACATCAGACTGGGAAGAAAGAGGAAGGGGCTGGGGAGGGTGTGGAGAGGGAAAGCAGGGAAAGGAGATGAAAGGCAGACACTGCCCAGGAAGGCAGAGGGAGTCCACAGTCCCACCCTGTGCAGGGCCACCTGCACACAGCTCCAGGAGGCTCTGCTGGTGCTGATGGGACGGACTGCGTCAAAATGAACCACCTCCCGCACCTGTGCTTGGCAGGGGGGCATTTCCTCATCTCACCGATCATAGTCCCCGTTGCACAGGGCTCTCACGGGAATGGAGAACGTTTGCCAGACTGGGTTTAGGGTATTCTTCATGACCTCGGTCTTGTGGCAGATCGTGAACCTGGCAAAGAAGAGAGGGAAGGCTGTCAGTCCTGACCCCAAGGGAGGCAGAATCCAGGTCAACAGAGGGGCTGGCTGGTTAATTTCTACAGTTGCCAGACAGTGGAAATGATGGCTTCATGAAGTGATGAGCTGCCCTTCACCAGCAGCACCCAGGGAGAAACCAGACAGCCATTTCTTGATGACACTGCAGAGAAGATTCCTGTACCAGGTGGGGAGTGTCAGGAGATGTGGTTCTCACTCTGCTCTCTCACCTGTAAGCCCAGGGAGTTGGCCACTATCTGACCTTCTTCATCTGAGATTCACAAAGGGATCAGAGGATGGGCGTTTGGGATGTATGAACCCTTGAAACCATCAGTGGAGCTGGGTGCCTAAGTTTCACGAGCTTGCTTCTCCCCTGCCTGGAGCACTCTCTCCCCAGATTTCCATGTTCATAGCTCACTTCCTCACTTCCTTCAGGTCTTTGCTCAAATGTCACCTCTTTGACATGATCACCTGCCCTGAGCACCATTATTTAAAATGTATAACCTCCTGGTCCCCTGACTCGGACATCACCTAGTCCTCTTCCGTACTGCTTTTTCCATTGCATCTGTCATCATTTGACATTTGACATGGTCTATCTTTCTCTTTATTTCTTTCACAGTCTGTCACTAAAATGCAAGCTCCATAAGGGCAAGGGTTTGTCTTCTTTAATCAGTGGTATATCTCTAGTGCCCAGAATAGTGCCTGGCACCACTTAGTAAGTATTCACGTAACATTTTTTTCTTTTGGAATGAACTAATGAATAAATGTATTTCTCAGAGGAGAGTTTCCATAGCTTTCACTGGCATTTTGAGCCAGTGAAATTAAAGCCCCTAGCTTAGATAATCTCTAAGACCCTTTCAGCTCGTTCTTCTAGTCTGAATCAATGAGCTTACTTTGCAAACTAGAAGGGCAGAATTGGCTTAACCCCAGCTGGGCCCCAATCCAGCGCCCCTGCCCACTCCCCACACCATGCCTGGCTGGCCCCATCCTGGAAGCCTGCCCTGCCACATGGAGGGGCAGCCAGGAGCCAGAGTGGAGCAGGGCAGCGGGTGGGGGCAGGGGCTGTCCCCCTGAGATTTCCCAGCATCTACCCCAGCTACCTCCCGACTTGGAAAGGTCACCCAGGAAAGTGCCTGGGCCCCGCCTGTGCCCACACAGCCTGTGCCATTTCTTCCCAGGCAATTTTCAAGTCAAAATGTCATTCCTGTCACTGTGGCTCAGCATTTCACTTCTGTGCTCCTTCTCGCCCACCCACTGGAGTGTGAGGTACACGTGGGAGACCTCCCCACACACCCCAGAGCTGGTGACGAGGACAGGAATGGGGACAGGGGAAGGAGGAGCTGCAGGTGCCCATGGCTGGGGCAGGCAGGTAGGGCTGGAAGGGGAGCCTGGGTTGCGGGGTAGGGCGGGTGGCGGGGAGGAGGGAAAATCAGATCAGCAACTGGTGGTGAAGGGAGGGAGGTCTGCACGGGGCAGAAGCCCTAACCTCCCACCTGGAGCAGTCACAGAGACCTGCCGTGGACCCTCTCAGCCTCTCCACGTCTCTGGAACCACTGCCTTCTCTATCTCCTCTCTCTTGCCAGCCAAATATCCTGACCAAGTCTTCTAAGCTTCTAAGCTATTAGCCTCATTTCCTCCTTGCTTCTTTTCTTCCTGAGCCCTGCATAGTCTGCTTTCTGCTTTAGACTCTTGCCCCAAACTGCTTTCTTTAAGCTCCCCTGAGCCCCTCATCAGCAAATCCACAGGCCCTTCAACTCTCTGCCACACTTGTCATGGGGGACCAGGTGCCAGTGTGGAAATGGTCCCTGCAGTCATCTTCTGCCTCAACTGAATTCATTTCAACAAACACTCGGGGCGTGGTGTTGGGGGAGCATTAACCAACAGGGTCAGGCAGATGCGGGGTCTGGTCCCAGGACCACCACTGCCAGCTGTGCAGCCCTGGGCAAGTGACTGAGCTTCCCTCTCACCGTAAAAGGGGGTAAGAACTGTAACTAATGCTGCCAGGCTCTGTTCTAATAACCTATATTAACTCATATAATCCTCATGACAACTCTGTGAGGAAGGTGTTATGATTATCCCATAATACAAACCAAGAGACTGAACCACAGAGGGTAGCACTGTGTTGTCCAGAAAAGTAGCCACCAGCTACACCTGGCTATTTACACTTAGGTGAACTAAAATGAAATGAAATAAAATTCAGTTCCTCGGTCACGCTAGCCCCATTTCAAGAGCTCAGCAGCTACAATGGCGACCATACAGGACAGGAACATACAGAACATTTCCACCATCCCAGAAAGTTCCATTGGGGTAGAGACTTGTCTGAAGTTACATAGGTAATACTTGGCAGTGCCAGGCCGAGCCTGGCTCCATCACCACGTTCGTACTCCCAGACAGTGATTCTGATTGAAGAAGACAAGGCAGGGGCAGTGCCAGAAGCACAAGAGTGTGCTTCCTTCCCTTTCCCTCTTGGCGTGGCAGGTGTGACATTTCACTACCTCCCTGGGTCCCTCCAGATCGGTTTCTCCAGCTGCCCTTGGTGTCTCCCTCACCCCAGCAAGATCCAGCCCATGATTCAAATGAAACTCTCCCCTCCAAATAAACTCCCATCACCGCCCCCATCTGACCAGCTCCTTTGCTATTTTCAACAGTCTAGGTTCCCTGCAGCTCCACTACCAAGGAAGGGGCTGTGACTACAGTCCCCACCCAAGTTCTGTGGAGCGAGGTCTCGCACTGTCCCCTTGCCCTGTCCTCCGCTCCCGCTTCCTCCCCTGCATTTCCACAGCACAGCTCGCTTGGCGCAGCACCTCCCACCTGTTCACCGTGTCAGTCACGAGTCTTTCCCTCTCCCCCGCCCCATCCCCATCCATCCCACACTTAGCTCTGCTAGAATAATCATTGGCAAACGCTGCAACACACCCCTCTCCTACTCCACAACCCAAATCCCTCCCTCCTGCTGGCCGGCCAGCCCTCACCTCTGAGACAAGCCTGGTGGGCCCCTGATCTCCCGTCTGGAGGATACCTGCATAGACACTTCCATGGATGCCCAGAACATCACTCAGATCTCTTCCTCCCTCCCTTAAGTCAAATTAAAGTCAACAAGAATTATTTAAAGAAATCCTGCTAGGAGTCCTTCTGTGAGACAAAGAATCCTTTTGTTATGCAAATGATCGTACCTAATTTTCCTTGTTTTGTACGTTCAGGTTTAAAAATCAGTTTTCCCTTGAACTGAAACACACCTCCTCCCTGCCGCTGCCCTGCCCCCAACACACACACACTCACACACTCACATCCACCCAGAATTTCAGATTTAAGGAGACAGCGAAGCTCTCTGCCCCTCTGCTTAGGGCATGCTTGCTTTGTACATGCTGCTTCTCTAGCCTGCTATTCTTCCCTGCTCCTCACCCCCACCCCCCAACCCCCGTGGACCCATTTTCTTCCTCTCCTTCGAAACCTACTTCCTAGTTCCTCTTCTCCAGCAGTTTCTCTAATTAACCTCCCTGGCCTCATCTCTTCCTCATTCTGCAGAATCCCTGCCGTAAGGTGGCCACAGCCTCCCAGAGCTGTGTTGCTTAAAGAGACCATGGAGACCACCTAGTCCAACTGGATCATTTTACTGATGAGAAAACAGGCCCAGAGAGGGTGCATACTTGCCTGGGGCCACACAGTTGGTTGCAGAGAGGGCCTAGGGGGACTAGAATCTGTCCCTCTGTGTACATCACTGACCTACATTGGCCAACGAGTTGTCTGTCTTTCCATCATATTGTGGGTGGCTTCCACATTAGGGAGAGGAGAAGGAAATGGGGGCTTCAGAGATGTGAGGGATTTTGAATGAAGCCTGTGGCAGAGTGTGGAGCCAGGTGGGGAAAAGGGTCTGGATTTGCCATGCTGAGTATGAAGTCGTGGGGGGACATGTAGTAATGGGGTGTCAGAAGGGCTGTGTGTGGACGAGGCCTAGGCTTAGAGATGTGGACTGATTTGTGTGGAAGAAGGAATGGGCTATCAGAGGGGCTCCTCAATCCTGTCCTAGGCCTGTTTTTGCCTGCTCCCTCCATCTCTGATATGCCCAGTACTCACCATTGCTAAAATCCTCAGAATAGCACTGTGGGCTTGGAGGCTGCTTCCAAAACCCCACCAGCCCCATCCATGCCACCAGGCACTATCCTGGAGCTCCTGACTTCCACCCAGAGCCCCTTTCCTCTCTTGAGCAGGAACCCCAGAGCAGCACCAGGAGGAGAGAGTCCAAGCCACCGTGCACAGCAAGTCACCACAGCCCAGCCTCCCGTTGATCACAGAAGGTGGAGTGAGGCCAGAGAACTCACGTTCCATCCTCGTTACTTCTGTAGAATACCAAGAAGGGGTCAGACTTCCCAAAGAAATCCTTCTTGTCCAGCTTGTTGGCACAGAACTGCATTGTGGCGACGTCCTGGTGGGAAGGAAGGAAACAGGGTGTGAGGCAGCAGAAGGCTAGAGGGTGCCCCAGGGCCCTGGGGATTCCAGGCACCAAGCTGGTTAGAAAGGATAATATCTCACATTTGCCCCACACCGAGTGCCAGGCCCTGAGCTAACACTTCGGAGGGTCTCCTTTCATCTTCCAACCCCACCTGGCAGAGCAGCCAGCCAGTGAAGCAAGTGGATTCTGCAGCTGGCTGCCCCAGTTTGAATCCTGGCTCTACTGCTTTGCAACCATGTGACCGGGAAAAGGAGGTAACCTCTTAGAGCCTCAGCTTTCTCCTTGTACATGGAGCTGATTGCAGCACACATCTCAAAGGTTGTGGTGAGAGCTGAATGAGATCAGTTTGGAGCAAAGTGTAGGCACATCACACCCTTGAGGTCAATGTTCATGCACATAGTTCATCACTATTTTGCTGAGCGGCTCAGAGGGGTGAAATGACGAACCCAAGCCACCCTGGGCTCAGTCACCTAACCCCAGAGCCCTCACTGTCCACATGGTCTCATTCCCTCACAAGTTTGTGTGGTTCCTAGAGGACACTCATCACCTTTCACATGTGCTGACTGACAAGAGGCCCCCTAACTCTGAGGTAGATATAGCTGGACCTGACTTCCCACTTTACAGCTGAGGAGAGAAGAGTACAAAGGAGCCACAGCCACCTGGTTGGAACAACACCTCTGCCACCTACCAGCTGAGCAGCCTGGGGCAAGCAATGTAACCTTAATATCAAGTTCTCCTTTGAAAAATGGAGTAATAATGCCCCCTGTGAGCCTCTTGGAAAGACTAAGGGAGCTGGCATATGTTAAGTACCAGTCCACAGTGTCTAGCACAGAGCAGTTAAAAGAATCGGAGCCAACACTTGCAGTGTGCCATCTGCTTCTGGGCTAACCCCGATGAAACTGCCAATGTTCAACTAGTGTTTACAATAAATACTATTGTTATTCCCATTTTAAAGCTGCGAAGACTGAGGCACAGAGAGGTTGACACCCTTGCCTAAAGCCACAAAGCTAGTAAGAGGATTGAAACAAGACAGTCTGTCTCCAAAGATTAATAACTGAGATTCCAAATGATGACCCTGAATCATCAAGATAAGTTTAATTATGTTCTGTAGCCTCAGTTTGAGAAGTCAGAGAAGTGTGAAATCCATTTTAGAAAGGCCTCCCCTGTGCAAACTAGTTAAAATTAAACAAACAAAAAAAGACTGGCTCTGAAATTCATCTAACTGGAAAAATCCACCAGTGAGCCACACCTCATCCCCCCGACTCCCCCACCCCCACACAGCGAATATATGTGAGGCGTTGCTGGGCGCTTATTTTTTGTTCAACCTGATCTGCCCTCCCTAACACCGCCTAGACCCGAGAACATCTGCCAAAAGCCCATTATGATAAACTGTATTGTGCCATTATCAAATCCAAGGGCATAAAACAGAACTTCAGAGAGCTTTCTAGGCTGTAACCAAGGCAGGCTTCTTCCCCAGTGGGTGTGCATCCCATGGGGAGTCCTTGAGGCAAGGAACATGTAACTGTACGGGGGCTTGCTTTTGAAGGTGACGCTGAGTTATGTCAATAGTCATATGAACTATGCTTTGACTGTTCCTCTTAAATAAAGGTTAATCATACGCATGTGACCCCAGGAAAAGGCTGGGTAAGTGTCAATAAAACCGCCTGGGCCAGCAAGACTTGAGAGCAGCAAATTCTGGCTGAAGGTCAGAGGTCCTGCTGTTTGACATCCTTAGCCTGAGAGTGGGGCTCTCTGAGCACATGAAATGCCTTTCTCAAACCAGAAGCATCTCTGGAATCAACTGCAGAGAAAATAAAGCAGCTCCTGCAATGTGTAATTTTTTGCAATTTCTGCCTTTTCAGCCTATCTTTTAAAAAACATATTAAATTCTTCTAAAAGCAGGATTTCCTCAATTTGCATCTTCCCACATGTTAGTCAGGCTGCTTGGGATACCACAGCAAACAACCTTTCTCTCTAGGGTGGCGGTCTGGCCCACTCTAGCATGTTAGCCTTCCCTGACCCAGAAGAGGGCCATGTAGGGCAGAAGTCAGGCCCAGAAGTCAGCAGGTGGGTTGAAGGCTGGGAGAAAGTAGCAACACCCAGGAGGGGAGAATGGAAGGTTTGGATCTTGCTGGCAGCCCCCAGGGTCAGAGCAAGGATAAGGTAAGTGCAAAATTTAAGGGACTCCAAAAATCTCAATAATCAAAATAAAGATTTGAATGCGATAGTTTAAAAAAATCAAAATGAATGCAAAAATCCATGATACATATAATATTAAATATCTAAATAAAGTCATTTTACAAATGAAGAAACTGAGGCACAGAAAGGTCAAGTAACTTGCCCAGGGTCACACAGCCATTAAGCAATGGCATTTGGCCTGGATCCAGAGCCCAAGTTCTTAACCACTTTCCCCTACTGCTCACACACTGTACCCTAAGAAGCACTTTTAAAGAGATAGAGGAACCATGGTGACATTTATTATCTTCTCTAATATTTGCTGCATTTTCCAAATTTCCTGGAACTAGTATATTGTCTTTTTTAGTCAGAAAAAAGAAGACATTAATTAAAAAGAAAAAGAATCATTAGCCACAACTATAAAATTTAGCACTTCAGCAGGAAGGAACACAACTCAGGGCTGAGGGTGACTAGTGACCTCTGGAAGGCTTCTGCATTCACAGAGAGGCCCAGAGCCACAGCTTGCCATGACAAGACAGCTGAAGTAGGAGACCTGGGGTACAGGCATTCAGCGATGGCAGCGAAGATCCCCTAGGCTGGAGTTTATTCTAACACAGATGGTGAATATTGAAGTTGGCCTAAGAGACTAGGCCTGTCTGTACACATTGACTTTAATAACCATGTTGAGGTCAAGCTGGTTTTTCTCTGCTGTCTTAATCACTGACATCTCAAGCAATCCAGTCAGTTGTGTATCTGTTGATTTGGTCATTCAGAGGCTGAAAACCCCACATGGGACCATTTTTCCTCCCACTCATTAAGTCTATGTTTCTGGGATACTAACCAAAATCAATCAACTAAGGTTCATAGAAAAATGGAACCATTCAGCTATGAGGATGTTCACTGCAGTATTAATTATATTGTTTCCTATAAAAGAACAGATTTCATATATTATGACCCATCCATACAATAGAGGAGTGATATGCAGCTTTAAATATGTCTTCCAAGAATATCTGGTGACATGGGAAAATAAATCTGGATACCATTTTCTACTAATTATAAGAAAAAACTATATACTTGTACACCCAGAAAAAAAAGCCTTGGAGGAAATGCATCAAAATGTCAACAATGATTATCTCTTACTGATGTTTCTACTCTTTGTATTTTCCAACTGTCCGTTTCAAAAATGTTATCTTTTTAGCATCTGGAAAAATGTTTTCATTTTGCTTTCTTTTGTTCTGTTTTTTTTTTAAACCAGAATGATGATTTCTAAGTCCAAAACATTACAAACTAACTTTTTAAAAGAGTGATGTCTAAATGCTGGTTATTCATCGTGCAGGACACTTATACCCATGCTAGATGCACACAACTTCCCCCAACATCAACCTGCATATTTTGAGTCTCAGGAAACCTTCACCACTTCCTCCCACTTCACCTTAGCTCTTTCTTCTTATCTTTCTCCCTCCCTCCCAGGACCCTTCCTGAGTCTCCCATATGGAGACACTGGGCTCTCTCTGAAGTATTTCTTTAGAACAACGAGAGTTCTGACTTTATCAGGATTCCAGGCTGCTAAGCTCCCCACCCACAAGGTCCCACACAATCTGGCCTCCACACTCACCTACACCCTTGCCTCTCTGATTTCACTCATCACTCTTCCCCTGACTTTTGAAGCAATCCAATCAGTTGCGTATTGTTTTGGGCCTTTGCAAGAGCTATTCTCTTTGCCTGGACCCATCTTCTTCCAGGTAGCCACAAAGGCTCATTGCTTCACCTGTGTGTATTTTGGCATACTACATAGTATTATCCATGAATTTTCCTTCAGGATAGTAAAGAGTGCTATAAAATATTTGTTATAAAAAAGAGGCAGTGGGTCTGACAGGGTTGAGGCCCACTGCTGCACTGTGATCACTGTTGGCAATTTCTGTCTCTCATACTAAATTGGAAACCTTGGGAGGGCATGGACTGAGCCAAAGCATATTTGACGAAACGAAATGAATGAATACATGAGCAGGCTGGTGATACCTAAAAGGGTGGGAGGAGGGGCAGCTGCAGCATGAAGCTTTGACTCCTTTGGCTGGTGAGAGGTGAGCCACACTCTCATCAGTGTGTGCAGGGACCTGACTGGGAGGCACTGAAACTGTGCATCCAGCCAGGAACTCCTGGCTCCAGAGCAAGGCAGGTCTGGGTGCCTGGCAAGCCTAGGGATAGCTAAAGGTCTGGGGAGGGAAAGGCAAGGAGCTACCTGCTCCCTGCATCCACAGCACCCCACTGCCTCTCTCCAGAAGCCCGGCGACTCACCATGCCTGCTAAAGGCTATTAGCCAGACATGTACCATGAAGGCTCATGACTCCACTGGGTGAGGGAAAGACTCCCTGAACCAAGGCCTGGGCTAGAATCCTGCAATCTTAGGCAGGCACTTCAGCCCCTCTGCATCTGTACACTGGGTCACTCACACCCACCCAGTCCCGAAACAAGTGGTGACAATCAAATAAACATGAGAGTCTTGGTCAACTCTGAGGACAATGTAAATTAAATACTGGTCAGTATTATATGGAATAATAATTGTTTTACTGCTGAACATAACGAATTCTTTAGTGATTCAGAGGCCCTTCAGGAGATTAAAGTCATCACTGTCAACATGAAGTATCACTGAAAAATATTTTGGATCAAATTCTGATTGTTGAAACTTTCTTGGTATTTAAATTCTAGATGAGCAGGGCTTTTCTATAACCCATCAAAGTATGCTAGTGACCCGGTGGAGTCCACTCTAATCCTTTGCTGGTCCCTGCCAGTCCACACCATCCCCATGGATGAAGGGAGGGTTTGTCTACTTCGGCAGAATGTATTCATTTGAGCAGGAAGCCCTGCTCTGGTGAAAAACCATCTCTCAGACTCCACCCTCTTCCTTTGATCCTCCCACTGAATGCTAGAACGACAGAAGCAAAGCCGTTCAGATGTAATTATTTTAATTCAGCCAGATGCTGGGAATTAGTCTCTTTTCCTTGCAAATATTCTAGGGAAAGACAGAACTCAGCCAAAGATGCCCCAAAAGAAAAGAAGCTGACAATCTCAAGAGGAAGGGAGGGAGCCCCCACCTCCACAAGCTGTGAAACAGCTTAAATCAAAGAAACTGCTGCCATCCCTGGATGAAGGAGAAGAAGGGAGGAGTGGGGAAGCAGGAGGAGGAGGGAGAGCCTAAAGGGTATTAAACACAGACTGTTTACCAATACCAGAAAACTAGACCCAAAACAGCACCTAGCATCGTCTAGAGCTTTAGAGATTCCAAAGCACTTTCACTTACATTGCTTCATTTAATTATAAACTAGGAAGGAAGTCACCAGCTGAGCTAGAAGTGTGGGGGCAAACTGAATTTAGGCTTTAGGGAATTCAGATTCAGTCCTTCCCAGACATCCAATAGAAGCTGAGCCCCTGTTAGGCACAGTTGCCTTCATGATCTCCTTTAATCCTCAGCAACCCTATCAGCCCCAGCAAAGAGGTGGAGAAACTGAGGCTCAGGAAGCTTGAAAAGAAGCTCTAGTCAACATGTCAGCTGGGTTCTCCCCCTTGTCTGAACTCCAGTAGCGTCCAGATCGCCAGCACTAATAGGTGTAGGAGTTTTCATCATCACCTGCTGTTACACATTTGGTCTGTGCTTCCTACTCATTTAAGCACAGATTTATGAAAGATCCTCTGTGATCACCTACTGCACACCACACCCTCTGCTGGGAGAACATGTGGGGAAGGTTTAGTCCTGCTGTTAAGTTCCTCCAGACCCACCAAGGTAAACAGACAAGTAGAGAAATCAGACTGAGCAGTTGTGTTTGAGTTGATTTGGTCATTGCTATGTGGCCCTGGCCTATCAATTCTGTGTCTTATTCCCCAACTAGAAGCCCCTGAAAGCAGAGTTTGGGACACTATAACCTAGTAGTTAAGGACCCCGGCTCTAGAACCAGACTACTTGGGTTCAAATCTCTTCTACCCAGTGGCTGTGTGACCTTGGGCAGGTCCCTTAACCTCTTTGTGAAATGAGGATCATAATACATCAGACATGATATCATACTATGTAGTACATTACATATTATAATACATCAAATAAGCCGACACTAACTTAGCACATTGTGTGTCTCAGAAAAAATTGCTCAATTCATGTTGGCTAACAATTTATACCTCCATACATAATAGCAGTTCTCAAAGTACGGACCAAGAACCCACATGGGAGTCCATGAGGCCAAAGCTATTTTCATAATAATGCTGATAAGACATGGAATTTTCTAGAAGTTATCCAACAGTGATATCATAACAGATTGACTGCAGAAGCAGATATGAAAATCCAACTCTTCTGTTAAGTCAGACATTAAAGAGATTTTTTAAAATATAAAACAAAGCACTCTTCTCACTAAATGACTTGTTTTGGAAAATACAGTTATTTTTCAAAAAAGATGTTACTTCTGCTAACCTGTAATGGGTTAAACTATTGTTATTTTTAAATGAATTAATACATAATTTAAAATGTTTCTCAATTTTAATTTCTCATATGGTAAATATTGATAGCTAATGGATACAAAAGCAACACTGAAACTTCCCAGGAAGGTCAGAAAATGCTATTTCTCCTCATCCCTCCCAGTCCCGCTAACCTGAGCTGGACCAGCCCCACGGGAAGCTGGATTCCCAGGTTACCCCAGAATTGGCCTTGTGCTCACACTTTGCTGCCCCCTCCTTTTCTCCTTATGATTCACTATGTTCCCACCTGCGGCTCCTAATTAACCTAAGGGGCATGCAAGCCTGGGTGGTTTAGGGAAATGAGTCTGGGTTTTAGAATCAGAGTGACATGGATTAGAACCCTAGCTCTACCACTTACTGTCCTTGAATAGGTGACTTTGCCTTTCTGAGCCTCACTGTCCTCATCCATAAAATGGGAATGACAACGGTTATCCTACCTCTTAGGATTGTTGTCAGAAGTAGTGATAACATAAAATGCCCACCACTTGACAGACAATAACTGTCATCACTACTATATTTTATCATCATTATCAGCCATTGGGTCCCCTGAGCCCCTTCTTGGGTGCTCAGCTACCCCTCAGCTGTCCCCATCTCCTGCTTCTCCATGGTCCCACAGAAAAGCAAAATCAAGGGCTGCTGGATGTTGCAGACTCAGGCTTCCCAACACACACACACTCCAACCACACACTCTTACTCCCTCAGCCCCATCCAGCCTCAACCCTACTCCAGAGCTAAAGTGAAAAATGAGAACTAAATGCCAAGCACCCAGGCTCTAAGACTGAAGAGGCCTCTCTGCTTCCAGTGTTAGTGCCAAGGCATTCTTGGCTCAAGGAAGAGTGAGTGGTGGCCATGATGGGGAGTGGAAGGAACCCTGACATGGCAGTCAAGGGACTAGGGCTCCCAGCCCAGCTCTGCTGCTGACTGTGGGTGAGCCCCTTCCCCTTTCTAGGCCTCAGTCAGCTCAGCTGTAAAAAGAGAAGATACCTTGTGGACTTCTATGACAGTTGTGGATTTCTGTGAGTCAGGTCAGACTGAGGAACCCTATCTTGCCCTGATCCCTCCAAGGACACACGTGGTCCTGTAGTCACAGGGAAGTCATCCTGCCTTCTGTCACTGCCCCATACCTACCCCTACCAGGTCCCGTCTTGGAGTCCCTCTGCCACTCACCCTGCAGTTGCTGAGCTCCTCAGCAGACAGGATGATGGTGCCACATTTCTTCCCTGGGACACCACTGGGAGAGGAGAAGATGAAAGAATGGCGAGGCAAACAAAGACAGAGACACAAGCCTGAACTCTCCTTGAATCAGCCCTCCGCATTCCTCCCCCCACCCCCCACCATCCAGCAGATCTGTCCCAAAGCCCCTGAGAAGACAGAGTCTCCTGTGGACTAGGGCACTGCTTCTTGGGCCAGGCCCCCAGGCCTGGAGCTGCCCCGCCCCCTGCTCCCCAAGAGCCCACCAGGAAGGGTACTGTCTGCAGTGAAAGTCCTAGAATTGGAAAAGCATCCAGACTCACCCGGAGGCTTCCAGACCAGTGGTTCTCAAACTTTCCATCCAAAGACCACTTCTGTGGGCAAAAGACCTCGTGGGCTAGCCACCCCACCCTGCCCCCAGCTGACCCCCAGAGTCCCGGAACATTCCAGCTCTGAGCCACTCTGATTCATCGTGGGAGGGAGAACAATAAGAGGGAGTAAAGCAGAGGGTATACTCTTGGTGGCAGCTTGCCAAGCCCTGTACCATGGCTACCTCCCCTTGAACTTCTTGGCTGGGATCTTTCTTGGGAAGAGAGAGCCTGGCCAACCATGTGGCTCCTCCATGATGTGGGCAGCCAGGACATGAAGTCAGCCCACCAAGAGAATCCCCTCTAGGAGGGCAAGTTCCCAGAGTGGAGCTCTACACTACCTCTTCCCTGGGGCAGGAGGAATTCCTCCCGCAGCACCAGCCCACCCTACTCCAGTGTTTGGGACTAACCTAGGGGTGTCCCAAGGTAGCCAGGGAGAGAGAAGAAAATGGCATGTTGTCCAGGAGCTGTGTGACTTTGGGCTCATTACTGTACCTCTCTGAGCCTAGTTTCCTCACCTGTAAATTAGGTGTGATTATAGCATCCATTTTACTAACTAAGATGCACACACACACAGTGCCTGGCACAGAGAAGGCCCTCAGGACCATCATTTCTCCCCCTACCCACTTTCCTTTACGACTGTGCAAAGCTGATAAAATCTAGCCCCACTCTTAGGCCAGCCTAGAGGAATATACTTTGAGAACCACTGATGGAGCTCTCCCCAGCACCAGCTCTTGGAGGGAGAGACTCTCAAACAGAGGAGGCAAGGGAGGCATGGGAGCCAGCCCCAGGGGCTGATGAGACAACCCAGCTCTCTTCAAATCAGATGAGCAGAGCAGGGGCCACATCTGAAAGTTCCCCTGCCACAGGCAGGTGGCAGTGCCTGCCAGCTTGTCCCCCTAGACTTGGGCAGCTGAGCTGAGCACCCCAAAGCTCCTCCTCCCACCCCAATCTGGCCATTTCTTGTAGTAAAGATTGATTTGTTTGACCAGGGAGAATCCTCACACCAGCCTCCTCTGTCCAATGTTTTTCCATCTGTTCCTCTCTTTGCCTCCTAGCCTGTCTTCTATTTCTGATCTTTCCTTCCCTCCTCTCCAGCCACAATCTGCTCCCACCTGCTCGACCTTTCTCTCTCTTCCTCCCTCCCTCTGGTCTTTCTCGCCCTCCCTCTCTGTTTCTCTCTCTGATTCCTGCTCCCTCTCCAATTGCTGTTTCTTCACTCTCCTTGTAAATTATCATCTACACCCTTCCTGGACTGTGAGCATCCCTGAGTCCCACATCCAGCTGGTCTGGTGGTCAATCCAGCTGCTAGGACCCCAACTTCTGGGAGTCCTTAGCAAAGGCCAGTGGAGCCTTGCTTACTCATCCAAAATGCTCATCTCTAGAGGCACCTCCAGGCTGGTTCCTCCAAGCAGATGCTCCCTACCCTGCCCCCCAACCAGGTGAGGACACTCCCTCCAACCAGGAGAGAGGAGAGGGAAGGAGTGGGGAAGGTCTTCACTGCCATACTTGCATGAGGCCAGCCAAAAGCAGATGGTCAGGGTGGGGGCTGGGGGAGCAAGGCTAGCTCATCACAGCTGGTAAGCAAATGCAGAAAGTAAAGATTTAGCTGAATTTACTCTGTGAGGAGGTTGACATCCAGCAGTGGAAGCAATGGAGGGGAAGAGGGGTGAGGTGGGAGAAGGGAGGGGAAGAGTGAAAGGTGGGAGGCGGGACAAACCAGGCCAAGGAGAGAGGAAGGGAAGGGAGAGTGCCCAGCCTCTGCTGCTTCTCAGAAATAGCCCCTACCTCTAAGCCCCACCCTGCTCCCCAAAGTCCCATGAGCCATTGGGGCTGGGGATGCTGGAGCTCTGCCCTGGATAGGGGGACAGCCAGCTGCAGAGTGGCCAAAGTGCCTGGGTCCTTAAGGAGAGACCTAGGGCCCTCACTGTGCCCCTGGCCAGGGCTGAATGCACAGTGGTAGGAGCAGGGACTGAGCTAGGAGTCTCAAGCCCCCTCTGCAGAACTGGCTGGATGTCTGAGGACCAAGGGCAGAGATGTCTGGTGACCTACCCATTGGACACAGCTGGCATAGGTTTGCCCGTCCTGGAATTCAGGCTGAATGCTCCTATCCTGTGAAGAGTGAGAGAGGAAGAGAGGGATCATGCCATGAGCTGAGCACCCCCATCCTAAGAGGCCAGCAAGCTTGGCATCTGGATTCTTGGAGACAGGTTTCTGTTTTGCATCAAACATCAAAACAGGATCAAGAGCCACAAGCCAGGAGAAAGAGAGGTCTTCTTCCCAACCTACCTCAGGAGTCCTCAAAGTGTGGTCCCTGGGCCAGCAGCATCACAACCCCTGGGAACGTGTTACAGTGTGTGATGCCTGCTACACTGAACCACTGTTCTACCTCTTTGAGCCTCAGTTTGTGGGCTGTGAAATGGGGATATTGCTGAGAGAACCACATGAGATCACAGAGGTAAAATACTGTCTGGGCCAGAAGAGATGCCCAGTGAAAGGAAGCCACTCACAGGCCCAGCCAGGGAGACAACTAGACTTAGACACATGAAAACTTCAGTGGGGCGAATAGGTCCCCCTCCTTCACCAACACCCAGCATCTCAACATTTTAGATCCTGCTTGCCCTTTAAGGGCTCCATCCCCTATCCAAGTCTTCCTTTATCCCTAGAAACTGTCCTTCCACTGAAGATGGGCCAGAGGACAGCACAGGAAACAGACACAAAGACTCATGGGCTTTTTACGCAGGTATTTAGAAGCTGAGAGAGGTAGAAATATACTCACTTCTGGGATCTCAAATTCTATAAGCTTCAGAGCCCCCTAGACCTGGGTTTGTTCCCTGTTCTCAATAAATGATAGGTGTTTATCACAATTTTCTGTGAACCCAGAGGAGGAGACTTTTGGAGGGCAAGGAGGCCTTTCTGGGGGCTCTGAAGTTATCACACAGTTACTAGGGATCAGAAACAAGGACCTGGGAGAGAGACCACTGCCACCCACACACACAATACATTTTACAGTTATTGATCATGGTAAAGGGACAGCATCTAGTGTGAACTTGGCAGAAGCAAGTGGAGGGATTTTCTGCCCACCTTGCCCTATGACCTGGACCCTTGTCCCAGTCTGCCAGCCTCTCTTGCCTGGGCCCTGCTTCTGGGGCTTCCTGAGAAACAAGGACAAAAGAAGTCACCTCCACCACTTGGCCAGATCTGGCTGGTCCCTGAAGCCACCCTCACGCACCACTGTGGGAAATAGCTCATCCCAGAGCCTGCTCAGTGTAATAGCTTTCCTCTAAAAGCACTTAAAACTCTATAATGCAGAATGTCAGGGTCAGGGTGGGAGGGGGAGGATCTCACTACGCCCAGCTTTGGCCTACAACAAGGTATGAACAATCTGAGGAATACTCTATGTGAGAAGACCCCTGAGTTTAAATCCCAGCTCTTCTACTTCCTAGCTGTGTGGCCTTGGGCATGTCACTTCCACTCTCTGGGCTTCAGTTTTTTCCCTTATACAATGATGGGGTAAGGGGCGAGTGTGGACTACACAGTATCTCGGGCCATTCTAAGGAATGTGGGACTCTAGTTACTGAGCTGGAGTTCCTCCAAGATAACTCGGCTAAAAGCCCTGCAAGGGCAAGGCCCATGGGGGTCTCCTTATTTCTAATCGTCCATTATGACTGGCTGACAGCTTTGCCCCTACTCTGAGCCAGCCCTCAGCAAGGGTGGGCAGGAAGTTGGCCCATCACTGAGGAAGCAACCCAGACAGGCCCCACTCCCTGTATACTTACGTGAGGGACTTCTCCAGGCGGCTCCCAGGGGACCCCACGATCTCTCCAAGTGTACAGAAGGCCTGGCCCAGAAAATCCTGTACATTCAGGGTACAAAAAAAGACCACTGTCACCTACTCTGCTCACAGCCATCCCACCTCTCCCATCACCCCACCCCTGAAGAATGAGGGCTCTGAAATGACAGGATGCAGCATCAGACACACAGTTTGTGTAACAGCGAAGCCCAGGGCCAACTCAGAGTTTGGCACTTTCAGAAGTGCTGTGCAGTCACTGGCAGAACTCACGTGTTTGGATAAATCAGGGCTCTTGGAGTCAACGTCATATCTGCATGGAACACAGAGAGATGGTGAAGGCAGCTGGGGCATCCTGCCCAAAACTGCCTGGCTTTTTGAGCTGATCCAGGACCCCTGTTCTCCCCAAAACGGGCACTAACAGAGTGGGTGTTTCTGGGAGTAATAGCATGGAACTGCAAGTGGGAGCTTTCTAGGGTGTTCGACCTGTTTCGTCTCTTGATCTGGGTGGTAAATGGATGGCAAAATGCACTACAAGGGAGGGCTCTTAAGATTTGGGCACTTCACTCTATGTATGTTATACCTCATTAAAAACTGAAAAAATGAAATAACCCTGCTCTGCCACCCTGGCTGGTTCACAGGTGCCTGAGCCACCTTGCTCTTCACTGCCTGTTCTCCCACCTTCCCAGCTAAGGCTCGGCAGCACTTTGAGCTCAGTACCTTGCCTTTGACCTTCCCTGATTGTTTCCCTTTGCCCAAGCCTGCCCAGCCTGCCCTCAGGCCTGGTCACTCAAGATGGAGATGTACCTCTGCCAGCCACAGGCAGGCTGACCCTGTGCTGGGCACCTCCCTTCACCTGGGGCTGGCTCACCTGCTGTCTCCCCTGCAGCCCTTCCTCCATCATCCCCCTCCCTCCCCTCCTGGACTTCTGCTAATTGTTACTTTTATCCCAGGCCAATCCTGGGCTTCCTCTAAGATCACAGTTCCCCTTCCCTTCCCCAGAAAGGAAACTCCAGCCCCAACCACAGGTCTTTGTAGCCCCACCTCCCAGCAGTGTTTCCTCCTCCAGCTCCATCTTCAGCACCATCTTCCACTTACAAGTCAAAACGGAGGTTCTGCTTCTCCTCAAAGAAGTAATCCACAATGAATTTGCGCACAAAGTCAGGATTGAGTGTGTTGTCGATGACTTCGGTGCGTCCGAACTACAAGAGGAGATGGGATGTAGACCTTGTGGCGAGGCTGGTGAGGCAGGGAAGCAGTGGGCTCGGAGCCCCTCAGTCCTGACCCCAGTAGTGATGGACCCATGCCTCTCCCACCTCCTGACCCCCACCTCCCACCCGCAGTCAAGGGGAGAGCTCCCTCATCTAACAGTGGAAGCCTTGCTCTTATGGCTCCAATCTGCATCGTCACTTTATTTTCCCTTTCTCTATCTAGTCTCCACCCAAGTGAGATGATTTTGATACCTGGGTACCTGAGCAAGCCCTTCACTTTCCCACTTCACTGCCTTTGCCTATGCTGTGTCCTCCACCCTTCTCAGCCAATGGCATGCCCTCCATTTCTTCAAGGTCCATTGTTAATGTTGTCTCCTTCAGGAAACCTTCCTGATTCCTCCAACCGGAGAATTACTTCTCTCTGAACCACCACTGAACTTGTGCCACCAAAAACCACTGAGTGATCTTAGAAGTGGATCCTGCCCCAGTCAAACCTTGAGATGACCAAAGCCCTGGCCCACACCTTGACCACAGCCTTGTGAGAGACCCTGAAGGCAGAGGATCCCACAAAGCTGCACCCAGATTCATGATTGCGTTATTTAAATGGCTAAACTCTGGGCTAATCTGTTACTCAGCAATAGATAACTAATAAAGAGACTTAACTTTCTTGGTATCCTCTGCAACATATACTCTAGAATTTTGCACATATTTGACACTGAATAATTAAATCCCATTAAACTCCCCAAATGACTTAAGGCAAGTCACTCCCTATTTTGGGTCATCAGAATCACTTGTGTTTGTTAAAACACAGATCAGATTGTATGCTCTGATTCAGTGGGTTTAAGATGAGGTCCGAGAATCTGCACTTCTAAAAACATAGGTGATACTCATGCTGGGACCTCCCTTGGAGAACCACTGGGCTAGACTGTGAGAATCCAAGGCCGTGTGGGGTTATCTGGGAAGCCCTAGATTTGGCACCTTCTTGCCCTCACCCCCCCCCTCATTCCAACCAACCCCTTGTTCCTGTCAATTCCATCAGCTTTAGCTTTAGATTTATCTCTCCTCTCCTGCCTCCTCCACAGTGGCCTTGGTGAGGTTTCTTCACTTTCTCACCTCAATCCCTGCAGCAGCCTCCTCCTCCTAGCAGGTCCTGCATGGGGTCCAATTGCTAATGTTTAAAGACTCAACTCCCCAGAAGCCCTGCTCTCCAACTCCCACCCCCAACCCTGTGCTCCCATAATCCTCTTCACATCCCCACAGCTGCACTCATCGCATCCCCTAGTCATGGTCTAATGAGGCTCTTTCCACCCCACTCAACTGAGCTTCTCAAGCAATGGGAGGATCCAAGTTTTCCTCATGTTTGCAGCCCAGGACCTGATACAGTGTTTAACAGAGTCACAGCCTCACTCACAGATGATTATAGCACCAGCAACTGCGGTAAACACTTTGCACCATATTTACCTTATTTAATCTTTTTATGGTAGGCTTCCCCATATTATGGATAAGACAATGAAAGCACAGAGTAGCCAGGTAATTTGTCCAGGGTCACATGTCTAATAATTGCTGACTTCAAGGTATAATCCAAGCATTCTGGCTTATGCTCTCTAAGCCATGTTGCCCTACATGTAAGGTCCCCAGGGCAAGGACGGCAGAAGCCCATTGCTCCATGACTGCTACATAGTAGGTACTTAGGAATTGTTGAATGAAGTAAGGTGGAATGAAGAAATGGATGAGTGGACTTGAGTCCCAACTTCATCACAAGCTAATTATATGACATGATCAGAGCCTTTCAAAGCCTCCGTTTCCTCATCAGAAGATGGAGAATAATACTACTTGTCCTGCTTGCTTAAGCACTTTTTGTAGGTGGGTGCTGGGCTACAAAAGTAAAGAGAACATGAATTCTGTACTTAAGGACTTCTCCATCCCAGGTGGGACAGTTCATACACAAATAATTACAATACAGTATGGTAACAGTGCTAAAAGAACTATATCAAAGGTCTAAGACAGGGTGTCCCCTTGGCTGGGGAAGTGTAAAAGCTATTAAAATGTACAAAAAAGCAGATCACTGGGTGTCCTGTTTCACATATTAGTCTAAGTATCTGACTTCATGAAGGTCTGCATCTTTCATTATCTCTGAGCTACTTTAAAACTCTGTCAATTATAGAAAGCATAGAGTAATTCAAGTGATTCTTATCAACAGAAGTGCAAATAAATTTTGCTCAGTGGAATGCAATTGCTTATTTGATTACTACCCTGTGGATACTGACCAATTTTGCATCTATTTTAAAATTCATTTCAGCATTCCTGATTGCCGATATGTGTGTGGTGTTGGAATTATTTAAACCAGTTGTAACATCTTATGGGTTCCCTCATTAATTAATAAGTTGAATAAATCTTGGCCATGTGCTCATTTTGTATTTCTATGAGAATCATCATTCTATCTTTTAAGAAAGGTATCCTTTAACAGAAGATTTTCAAAAATACCCATGCTCAAGCCCTACCACAGGCCAATTAAATCTGAATCTCAGTGGGTGGGGCCTGAACAACTGTATTTTTTTTTTAAGTTCCTTAGGAGATTCTAAGATGCAGATGGAGTTGAGAACCTCTGATATACGAGAATATAGCACGAGGAAGGAAAAAAAGTAATATTTACTGAGTCCCTATTGAATGCTCAGTAGATCAAGCAGATGATTAAGTTATCTCATTTGATTCTCACAAAAACCTTGAGTTATTACCCATTTTACAAGTGAGAAAACTGAAAATCAGAGAGGTTAAGTAACTTGCCCAAGGTCACACAACTAGGCAGAGCCGGGATCTAGACCCAGATACGTCTAACTCCAAAGCCAACTTGTATTTCATTTAACTGCCAAGTGTCCTCAAGTATTATGAAAGTCAAATAAAGATGAGGTTTACTTCACAAGCATTTATAGAAGCCTCGCTGTGTGCAAGGCCATGGAGAGGACATGGGGAGTTGAATAAGACTGGGTTCCTGTCCCATTCCCTAAGTTCAATGACAATTTTTTAATGTATGACCCTGGTTCCAAAATAGTTCCTATATTTTCCTCTCCTGCCCTTTCTAATTCTTAATACCTCCTATCTTCAGATGAAAAGAAAATTTCTCCTCATAGCTTTCTAGAATGCAGACACTCCAGGTAAACACCCAGGTTCGAGAGAATCCTCTCTTAAGGAAGGGACTTACCTCCTCCTCAGTACACACCCTTCCTCTCACTAAAAATCCCTCCAGCAGGATTTTATATAAACCCCAGCCCAGAAGGAGCAAGTATTCCTTTGTGCAGCCCCCCTCTTCCCTCCACTCCTGGCAGAGACGCCAAGGAAAACACCCATTAGGGAAGATGACAGCGCTGCTTCTAAAATGGCACTCGAGGCTTCAATAGGGGGGAATTCCCTAGAGATTGGTCTCTGCCAGAGAGGAAAACGGAGCTTCCCCGGAAACAGGACAGGGAGGGGGACTCCAAGGGCATCCAGGATCTCCTAGAGAAGGAAAGGGGGCAAGTGAGCCAGGCTGGGCAGTGATAAATTACCAGGACCAGGGGTAATTAACATACGCACGTCACAAACAACTGCAAAATCTTCAACCCAAGGCGTTACTAAAGATGTTTTATAGCCTTCATTACTTGGGCTAATAACAAAGAAAAAGAAATATGAATACTTGGATTTAAAAAGCCCAAGAAGCCACCAGGTCCCAATTTACACCCCTATTAATGATGGTCAGAACACAATTGAACTGATGTTTAAAAAAGAAAATCAATTTGGTTGTATTTCGTTCTACACAGAATTAGAGAGTTTTCAAGCCAGAAGGGACTTGGAGAGATGAGGTATTAGCAGTGGGAAGCACATGAAGGCACTGCATGAGATCTGATTGCTGTGCAGGGAAGAAGGGGAGGGTGGGTTAACCCCTCACCACCCATAATCCGGAGCCAAGCCAGCCCTGAACACTTTTCTAGCTCCCTAGAAGGGCCTGTCCCTTCCTCTGGTCCATTCTGAAGCCTTCTGTCCATACTTGGTCTCCGAGGATGGGAAGGGGCCTCACACTGCTCGCAGTCTGGAGCACAGACCACCAAACACCAGCGGGCACAGGAATCCCCTGATTAACAAAGCTGCAGAGAAGCCCAAAATCTGAAGTCTGCTTTGTTTTACCAAGTGATTCTGATGCAGAGAACCCTGGAGAAGTGTTGGGTAGGTGGTAAGTGTGAACTGGGGAGGCTGTGATGTAGAACCGGGAAAGGGCTGAGCAATTAGGGAGGTGAGGGGACTTTGACCCCAGGGCTGGGGCAGCCTCCAGGGGAAGAATAAGAAAGTACAAATGAGAAATAAGACTGGAAATTAGGGTATTCACCCTCTGAAAAGCTTACTTTTTGCCCCCGGCAACAAAACCCAGTGGGAAAAGCTCCTGACATATTACAAAAGATGCTCCCAAGAGCTCCTAAAACCCCTAAGACTAAGCCCCAAGAATATCAATTAAGCAGCATTAATTACATATTATCAGTTCCAATGAGACCCTCAAAGGGGAGGCAGACTTGAAACGTCTTTAAGGACTAAATTAAGCGGCTCCCAGGGGCTGCGCCATACACTTATAGAAGTTGAGGTTTATAGGGACAGGTGGACAGCTGTCCAGCCAAACTTCCCTGGGACAAAGACCACTGCAAGTCTGGGACTGAGAATGCAGGTCAGGCAAGTAAGGTATTCTGTCCTACATCCAATTACAAGGCCAGGAGGCGGTGAGCCTATGTCAAGACATGGGCCTCCTGACCTGCAGGAGGCCTAGACTGATTTGGAAGTTTGTTCTCTGTGCTGGAGAATCTCCTGCTGCTGCCCGCCACCCCCCACCACTCAGCTCCTGTGTCCTGATCTACACTCCGGGAGGTTGTTTTCCATCAAACTCCACCACCTGGTTCCCTTGCCCTGTGGGTTCCAGTAGGGTTTGGCCAGCAGGAGGCACTAGCACACAGCAGATGGGACATGAGAGGAGA